ACAACATTTTATTTTATCTTATATACAAATCAATAATGTTATATACGTCATATATGTTACAAGTTATAAAGTTAAATTATGTAAAGAGAATAGTTATTCTCTTTACATAACAGTAGAGTCAATATATATATAATAGTTATTATATATATATATATTGACTCTACTGTTATTATGCAATGAACCCGCTTACTTATTACTTATATTTGTACCCTAAATAAATAAATAACAATTTGAACACACTGCGTTTCTGTGTGTACACATCTTTAACGGCGCCGTGTCCTCATGGAGTTAAAGTTCCGGCTAGCGTCGCGGTGGCGTCGCACGTTTGTGATAAATCTATGAAAATGCTCAATGATATCTAAAAATTAATATGCCTTTATGACCACGTGACTGCGATAGAGAAGCGCGCTCCGCGCCGTCATCAACATTGACCGTCATTTTTATTGTTTACCAAATTAACATGTGCTGATAAACATCCGGCTTCAAAATTCGGAAATGATAACATTTCCTAGATTCAATTCAGATTGGTTTTTACTAATGCATGTGGGTATTTTTAACGTACATTTATCGTCTAGTTGTATACGACTAGTAGATTAGCATACGTTTAATGACTTCTTTTAAGCCATATTTTATGTTAGCTGTGGCCATATCATCATCAATAATAACTATAGCTAGCATATTAAACATAAAACTCACCCCTTATCTTACATAAAAATAAAAGACACCTTCGTTTCCAGTGATTCCAAGTCAAATATCCTTTTTTTAAAGAGTAGAAAATCTTATATCTTACAAATATCGTACAAGCTTTCATCCCCCGTTTTATGTAAAGTGAGTGTATTAAACAGACATACATTTTCAATTAATTATTAATCAGTATGGCTATTTTGAACTAACAATGAATATGATTTAGTTAAGTTAATTAGTGTGAGTTAATTATTATAACAATCGATTACACGGCCGCATATTACGGTAATATTTACAGACTCTTGCATATAAATAACATACGAGATCGCATATTTATTAACTGCAGACACGTGTCAGCAGTAGTTATTATATGTATACCTGCCTACATGTTGCTCATAATAATTAAGCCGCAAACCTTTATGAATTAAAAATTATTGGCCCCGCGACTAACCATAAAATATTCCGCGAATGCTTTGAGTAAACAAAAACAACTAATAAAGACCTAATCAATTTTATAGTTTTGTAGGAAATTCCAGGCTGGGGAATTTTGATGTGTAACCACTCATTGGGTCCAAAATAACAGTAGAAACATCCTGCAAGTTGTCTTACATTTACTGTCGAACTAGAACTGAGCAAGATCATTCACCTGTGAAAAAACAAACTCATTAATTCTAAAGAAAGCTATGGCATTTTTTAAAAATAAGTACATATAGGTACAACTGATACGAATATGTCATTCTACAAACTATCACCGTCATAGATAATGTTATCTATAATAGGATAATAATAATGTAGGAAATAGGTACAATATACAAATATGAGAAACCTAAATTTTCTTGAACATTTCAAGTTTTATATAATTAATTGTTCTGATTTGACTCTTGATAGAGATCTTATATCAATTTATGTGAATCAATTTATCTCGCCTCATTTGGAGCGATAAGCGAACAACGGCTTTACCTTGTGTTACAGAGGGCGATACGTATCCCAGTTATCCTGTCATATTACGCGGAAATAAAACTCACATTAAATATTTAATATATTTAGTAATAGTAATATATATCATTTTAATAATCATAATATTTGAAAAATCCTAAGAACATATTTTATCTGATATTACCTATTTATATAATAATAATATTACCTACATACATATTTATTTAAATAATTCGAATTTATAACTAATAATCATAGTTATCTACCTCTGATAAATAAATTTATAACATAACAACAAAAATAACAAAAAAAAAAGAAAAGTAAATATAAATAAGTTACTATAAATTTTGTTTCTAAATTATTTTAGTTTAACACATTGCCTATTTTTTTAACTACATTTGTAATTTCCTCGTTGACTTAACCAAGCAATATAATCTTTGACAGATTTTTTTCAGCCGAAATTACTGTGTTAATAGCGAAATACCTATAAACTTTTCTTTAATATGACGGATATAATTATTATCTACGGCATTTAGAAGGAGTAAATTCAGTGGTTTACTTTCTCTTGGTCTATTTGATATATTCTTAAATAAGTTTAGAATCGATAACTTTAAAAAAAAGAACTAGAGCTAATGGCAACACAAATCGGAGCCAAGCGAAAAGAAAAAAAAAGTTCGACAGCGAAATACCGTCAAATTAAGAACTCCCGTTTGGCAGTAAATTGAAAACAAGATTACACATAGTGTATGATAGCGGCACCGCACGCATATCGTCAGTCAAATTGACGGCAAATGATCGTAGATGCGGAACTAAGCATACTCGAGGCTATATTTATTATAATTGGTTAATGATTTGAGATAATCATCGAATAGTAATCGATTATTACTACGGATTCTTTAAAAGAAAATGTAGGTAAAGCGTAAAACAAGTTTAAATGGAGTTCGGATTTTTAGAATTATATGCGACATAGGTATTTGTATATTACGTCCAGTTGGTTCTACTGAAGATCAGAGAAGAAACATATTGCAACGCATTTGTACAACAATAAGGAACTATTTACTTCTATTCTATTATTAATATTATTCTACTGCTGGGGAAAGCTTTACCCATTTTTTTTCTTTTTCTCTGTTCACATCGAAGTAGCCATGTGTCCACGGCTTATTAAACCGTCTTCGGTGTTCGCTATACCTATCTTGAGGCACGCATATCATTAAGATTTGTCCCTTCTTTATTTAAATTACAATATTTAATTATTATATATATATAAATATGTTACTTATCAAAATCCATAGATTTCATGATGTGCTTGTGTATGGTATTGTTGCTCATAAAATGTACGCAAGGATTTCGAAACGTTACTTAGATCTCACTTATACTTATTTAGAAAATATGATTGCCATGTATCAAGGCTGTTCAACTTGCAAGAATGTGTGGAATGAAGTCATATGGGCGATCGTCGATTATGTGCGGTGATGGTTAAACAACGCAATGAGGGGCATTTACTCGAATGTTCCGCTTCTTAAGGGAATGTGAAACGCATTTCCTTTTTTTAACGATACTCGCTATCATATGCATGCAGTCTGCATAACTGGTTCAAAAAAGTTTCCACAAGCTAAAGCCAATGTTCGCATCGTTCTCATCTGGATTAAAATAAAACAATATACAAAACTGAAAATAGATTTTTGCGAATATAAATTGATTTTGAATATCAAAAATAATCTTGTTCTACTGTATCATATATGATATTGTATTTGTGAGAATAATTCTTGTGGAAGCTATACCTATACTCGTCACACATTCTCTATAAAGCTGATAGTAGGATGTTGTCTGAAAATGTCCAATAGTTATCATATTATTTGCCTCTAGTTATGTTAATGTTTAGAAGATACCTTGAAACTTAATAACAATGATAATGAAACTGTGTTGCACATAAACAATGGTACAAAAAAATAAACAGTTAATGGACCGCTGTAAACTGCGATGGCGAAGCTGTGACGTTACAAATATGAAGCAGCCTCAATGTCAAATGCCAACATCGTGTACGATTACCTTACATTACGTAAAATGTAGGCAATTACCCAATGCATATCAATATAGAGCCATTGTAAACCTTTGCGGATTCGCAGAGATTCCGGCTCAGTCTTATGGCATTTACTATGAGCTGTACCCGTGGATTCGTACACATGGTAGTTGGAATAGCAAAAGGTTAACTTCGCCTGGTATATAAACAGCTGAAAATGCTACGCACGAGTGGTATGAAGAGACCACTACTCATTTTTATTTCAAACGTCTAAGATGTCACGCTCCCTATCCTGTAAATTTATGAGAAAACGTATCAAATCAAATCAAATACAAATGTTACCTAAGTCGTATCATAGATTAACGTGTAATAAAATTCTAAAATTTATTTTTTAATCTCGATTACGCAAATACCATTTAAAAATTGTAATTTTGAAAACATATTTAATGTACAGACACGGCTCGTTTACGATTTTATTATATGTTACATTGCGCCGACGCGATACAAGTTTTTTATTTACATTTTTTTATTAAAATTTCCCACGGGTACGACAGTGGAATAGTTAATTGGGCGTATTCGTATTCAAAGTATAAAAATAAAAAATATGGTATGTTGGGTGCCATGTGAACATGCCATCTTCGCTCGAGACTGGTAAGACTACCCTACCAAGGTCTTACAAAGAATTCCAAAGTAGTGTTATTTATCAAATGTTATGTATGTATGTATGATTAGGTTACTCGTAAAGGGGTTCTTGTTTCAAACTATTCCAACTACTGGAGAACGTAGCTGGCCTTTACACTTTTAACGGACAAAAGTAAAGAATAGACATAGGTATAAACCGAAATACAATGATAGTGTTAATTAAAACGGATTTTTACAAGAAATAAAGTGGACAATAATTATTAAAATCTTCATACAAACTGCACTGTCGCGTGATCATAGAGTAACGAAGTTCTAAATTTATTTTCATACTAACTCGTAAAAATGTTTCAGTTTAATGAGTAGTTTACATGTACCTGTTTTTTTCAGAGTATATTTACTTTCTTTTTATCGAAATTTATGACCTGACTTTATGTACTGGGAGTACATAAATCCATGTACTATAATATATTCTGATAAAATAAAAGTCACCAGAAAAAACTAGGTTTAGTTGTGGAGTGGGTTAACTCAGTGCCTCACTAATTAGTTACGGGTTCGATTCCCACATAATAAATATCTGTAATCATGTGTATGGCAGTATTGGTTGTGGGGTTTACTATGTTTATTTCGAATATTTAAAAAAATATTTCAATTTTCAGTATATTTACTTGTTGGTTAGTAACCACAGTACCTACTATAATACCACTATTTACAAATTTGGGAGCAGGCGACGCTGTGTGATATTATTATGGTATACTAGCGTACCCGACAGACGCGGAGACGTCCCGCTCGGAAGAAACATTTAACTAATAAACACGCGCACAGAAGAAAAAGTGCTTTAACCCCGACTAACATTTTGGTGATTCTTTATCTGATTAATTGTGTTAGGTCTAGTATGACTAATCAAGCCTACACAAAAAAATATTTATATTTCTAATTGACTCTCCGGGGTAATGATAAACACGTTCACCACTATAGTTTCTAACACAGAACTTATTTTTCTGTTCTATGGTTTCTAATTATCAAAATATAGGTGTACCAATATACACTAAGTACATCTGAACCTACAGTACCTACCTGTACTTGATTGTAAATATACCAATACGAATGTTGACTCTCTTTGGGGCCAATGATACCGAGTCTCGGTCAAAATATTTGTCATATCCGTATATTACGAAAACATAGCCATTGTCGATAAATAGGTAACTATTTAAACAAATCGCTACCAGTCTCCGGCATTTAACTGAGTAACTGCTCTACCGGATCTTGATATTATTTAATCGTATTAAAAAACCAAAGTATCTATTCGAGACTAAAGTTTCTAAAATAAAACGCGTTAACAGAATCTCGTTTCATTCATCGCGTATGCCTGATTGATGTTACGTAACTAAGAAGATGATAAAGTTCATGGTCAGCAAGTTACCAGCAAACTAAACTGTCGGTCATTTTTACTCGAGCAACCAGCAGTCGCTCGATAAACAAGGCGTGTCTAGATTCCTAATGCGAAGGCTGCATCCGGGCCACCGCAGGGATCAGATAGCGGCGGGGGCGTGCGAATGTCAAGGAACCCTGGCATCCACTCGGTGTGAACCGCGGGCGAGGGCCTGCGTCACAGTCGCCGCGCGCCTTCATCACCATCAGTAGAAGCCGACATGTCTGCGCGGGCGCGTGCTTCGCTACGCGCGTTAGCGGCACTCGTAGCCGTCGCACAAATCACTAGTGAGTATCGAGATTTTTATTATACTTGAAATAGAAGACATCACATGATATATGTTACAAGTTATTATTTATATTAAATCAAGTTTTATTTAAACTCATACTTATTTTTTATTATTATTTTATATCTTAGATCTATAATTTAAAATAACTCAAATTATTAATAATATACACTGCGAATAGTCTTCGTAAGTATAGTCCATTTGCGTAATAATTAAATTAATCATAGTCATTATCATAATAATTTGGTTTTTAATGTGTTCTAAAAAAAGAAATATCTAATTGCAGATGCTGAAATAATACCTTGCCATAAAGACGGACTCTATGCAGATTACGATAAAAACTGTCGCGAATATGTAAGATGTACTGGAGGTATTTTAAAAGGACGTTATACATGTGGTCCTGATCGTGCGTTCAGCGAGATAGCTGGCGCGTGCGTACCCCGCCGACGACAGCCATGCATCCGACGTGTATGTGCACCCAGAGACACGTATGCCTACGCGACGCCCGGAACTGCATGCAGGCATTACTACCGCTGCGATAATGGTACAGCAATCGACCACTCCTGTCCTTCTGGTGCATGGTTTGACCTCGAATTACAAGCCTGTACTCGTGGTGCCGGTACTTGTTATGAACCTTTATGTGCTGGACTAATTGACGGTGAATATCCGGATTCGTCGCACGAGTGTCGCCGTATGATTTTGTGTCGCGGTGCTGAATTGCATGGTGTTTTTTCGTGTGCGGGTGGTGCGTGTGTGGATTCCTGCCCGGCGCCACGCTCTGCTGCTATACCTTTGCCGGCCGGAGACGCAGAGTTCTGTTCAGACGAAGCATGTTCATCATTATGTCACCAGGCAGAAGACGGCGCGTATGCAGACCGTGCGACTGGTTGCCGCGAGTATTTTGTGTGTGAGGCTAAACGAGTTATAAGACGAGGCGTGTGTGAACCTGGTTTACTATTTTCGGGTAACGGCTGCGAACCAGCAGCTCGAACAACATGTCCACCACCAGCTCGGAGTCCTTGTTACAACTGGGCTGACGGTTTGTACCGTGATTGGCGCGACTGTTCATCGTGGTTCGAATGCCGCCGGGAGAGAGTGGTCGCCCGGGGATTTTGTGAACTGGGACTAGTATTTAATGGGTCTAATTGTGTGCCGTCAAACGCATTCGTGTGTGAAGGTCCGGAACATCGATTAGAGTGTCAAGGGCTTCCAAGCGGTACATACCAAGATTTGGAGTCGAATTGCACTCGCTATTTTCATTGTGAAGGATCCATGCGCACCACGCTCGCTTGTGAACCCGGATATGTTTTTGATGGCGTAAAATGTACACCAGTGGATAATTATCTATGTCCTAGTCTGGGTGAAGATTCATGTTACGGTCGACCGGACGGTCGGTACCGTGGACAGCATACACAAGGATGCCGTGGATACTACACTTGTGCGGCTGGAGAGAAAGCAATATATGCGTGTGCGAGCGGTCGCGTATTCGACGGTGAGGCCTGTGTGCCGGCCCGGCCGGGCGTTTGCCCCATGGACGATTACTCGTGCTCGGGACTGTCTGATGGTTATCACGCTGAAATCAAAACCGGATGTCAAAGGTATGTGTTAATAGCTTGTAGTTCTGAGTTATAAAAAAACACTTCTTATATAAACGTACCTAGATTGTCTCTAGTAAAATATATGGTGAAGATAAATAAATATATATTAATTTTTATATCTCTAATGATGAATCAAAACTTTCAGATATTTCTACTGCGAGGGTGGCGATCGACTAGCTACATTCTCATGTCTTGGCGGCAAGATATTCGATGGCCACGCGTGTGTCAGTACCTCAACCCATAAATGCGGGGCCCCGCCGCGTGAGAGCGTCGAGAATGGCGGAAAATACTGCGAGCACAATGGTTTCTTCGTCCAACTGGGTTCAGGATGTCAACGGTACTATTTTTGTGTGAAAGGAATGAGAACATTCCTAACATGTCCCTCAGACAACCTTTTCAACGGTCAAGTGTGTGTTCCTAAGAGCCAATATACATGTCCTGGTTGAGGCAACGGCAGTGCGTAGCATACACTGATCTGAGGCCCGTCGGGCCACGCTGGGTACGAAACGACAAAAGAAGACGATAGCCTGGAGTTACACACGATGTACCTGAATAACTATTGTTTATGGCTGTGAATATCTAATAGTAACGAAACATTGCCCAATTATTATAAACACTATTCCCAATAATCTACCTCTGCTTTATAATATTGTAATAATACTACCTAGTTTTTTTTCTTATATTTTTATTGGCATAGAAACCTTTAAGCAATCTATGTTGTACAATATTAATCGCTAGTAATTATACAGTGACTATATTTTACATTTTTTTACTTACAAACTCAAAATTAGTAAGAGCTATATATTAGTAAAAAAATAAATTATCTTTTAATGACTTTCAAAGTATATTAAAACATAGTAATTAATAAGCAATTGATATATAATACATGAATCAACGAATTATATAATATGTTTTATTAATTAAGTTTCATTTTATACAAATTCAAGGAAAAAGTAGGTAACGTGTACGTAATAGAGAAAGCACAAAGGGGAATTCCATAAAATATTCCTTTCCAGATTCATACCTAACATAAAGTGAATTCGTATTTATAGGAACGCATATAATTATGAAAAATTGTTCCTTTAATTAATTATTACGTATGATATCTCCTACAAATACAATATATTTGTCTTTTTACTATATAAATTTATACATTTCTATACATCCATTTTAAGGTACAAACTATACGATGTTTACAACTTGTGTGAATACATGATAAATACAGTATGATACTTTATACATATTTGCGTTTCACTTGGTCCACGCAGAAAATCTCTCACATTCAACAACAGTGATGGACATGTCCATAATTTTTTTAAGTATATAAAATATAGGCGTGACTTTTATAATTACAATAGACTGTATTTCTTGCACTCAGTTTACTGTTAGGAACTTAACATTACAGCCCTGAAACATTACCATAAACTTGAGTGCGGGTTGGTATTGAGAACTCGATCTACCATTTTCATTACCTCATTATATGTGTAAGAGAGTACATAACTTTTTGGATGACACAGGCAATCTGACTTTATCTTAGGAGAAGTGACAACCATCGCCTATATGCATGAAATAAACATGTTTTAGGTTTCATAATATTTGTATTGAATAAAAATTACTAATAAAAATAATGTCATAACTGCCAAATCATTGTTACTAACAAATCTCATTGACAATACACAGATTTGCAATGATGTATTTGTTAATTCCAAGCCGAATAGAAATTGTAACTTACAAATTGTGCCTGCATAATAGCAATACTCACAATTTCAATCTCTTTCAAATAAGAACTATCGGCTACTGTGTTCACGATCCGTTGTTGATAACATAGTTTAGATAATAGTAAAAAAGATTATAGTACGCTAACTTAAAACTATAGCTGCATAATATTGCATGAAGTTTATTCTGATTAAATATGATGAAACATTTCGTTTTTAAGTGGCATATTTAATATATTACAATATTTATATGATTAAGAACGACACAATCTAGGTCTTTTTTATAGCTGTAACGGCATATACAACTCCAGAATATAAAATTTAATATTTATTATGTACGATTTTCTTATTTTTGCCTTACTTTTAAAATGTTAATTTCCAAAAGAAAACTAATACAAATCGAGATTTAGCATAAGCTAAATGCTTATAATCTGAAATATTAGTATATGATTGACAGTTTTCTCAATTAAATCAAATTTAGATCAATATATAAATAATAATACTTGTAAGTAGAAAATTCACATATAAAATATATATCGCAACATTTTCGTAATACATCACTGCTTCGCTTCACAATATTATAAAAAACTAAGCTATGCTAATGGATCTTTAAAAACAAACTATAGGTATTCTTCTCATATTACAACATTAATTACAATAGCTCGTTTGAAACTTTATAACGTATTGTAACCATTACAACAATGCTATTAATAGGTTATACTGAAAACATAATAAGGCTTATAAATTCCTTTATACAAATCCGTCCTGAAGTTTTAAAATTATTTGTTCTTATGAGATTCTGACAATTATTTATTTCAATCATAATCTTGGACTTGTTAAACAAGTTTATACAACGAAAGGCCCTGTAGAACGTATTTGATACTCTGTTAGCCCTTAGACATAAATGTTGCAAGGAGATAAAAATTTACTTCCTTTTAAAATTGACATTGTTGTATTGTATTTTTAGGAAAATTATTATGATTTTAAAAAGAGAGCAAAAATATTTAAGCTTATAAAAGTAAAATTACTAAATTTTTGATGTCGGTGGTTTCCTTTTTTTACCTTTTAAACTTAGCACCACTAACGCCAAATATGTTACACGGAACGCAGGAGAACGGCTACACAATCAATGCTTTGATCTCATTTTGTAATATAGTCGTGAGCATATATTGTATGTCCCTTAACTATCATAATTGTGTGTGAGTGAGTTTATAGAAAAAAAATCACTAATATGTTTTAATTTATACAAAGAAACATATTATTTTTAAATCAAATGTTAGCAATATATAAATAATTTAGTAATATAAAATTAATATTATTTTAAAACTCATGTTTTTTTGCAGCAATATTTTATAACTATGTAAATTAATCGAATGAACTTACTAGGTTAATTAACAATAATAATTACTTATACAAAAACTGCATTAGCATAACATTCAAATATTCAGCTCCTTAAGTATGTACAGTTAAATTTTCACAGCTTTATTGATTACTAAGAAAATTAAACTTTTATTTTGGAAATTTCACATAATTGTATAAGTATTATAGTTAATAGTTTTACCTACTTACATAAATAATGTTAGCCAAAATCAATTTATAATATATTTCAAAAATTATGTATAGAGCATTAAATTTATGATTTGATCGTTTATTTCGTTGTTGTACAAATGAGGTAACTCGAACCACATTCTACATCTATGAATCATGTGAATATTTCGAAAATGTTAAGATAACGATGCAACCATAGGTGTGGTGGTACATCAAAACTAGAAATATTTTAAGTTAAATAATAGACTAACATTTAAATATCAAGGACGATATTCTAAGACATACCGACTTTCTGTTCTTTGTTTATATTTTATATAGAAATTGATATCATGTTATGTAATAGGACATCAGATTTAAACATTAGGATCTTAAATACCTTCTTTTAAAACACAGTAAGACGAATACTGATAATATAATTTCTATTCGGGTGTATAATACATTTTATTACATTTCATATTACGTAAGAAAGTGCTGAATCTTCTCTATTTTGCTATAAGTTTAAGAATAGATGACTACATATATACAGAGATACATACATTTTATTATATATATAGGTACTGTTCTTGTGAAATAACTAATGTAAAAAGTGATATTAGTCAAACAATATGAGACCTATTGAGAACTTCGCCATTTCATGGTTATCATAGTGTTAAGGATAGTTTCATTCTTAGCAATTGTTGCAATTACAAGTTGACAATATACTAAAATGAACATAGACTATAAAGCTAACTCTGTATACTTAATTCTCGTAATCTGCCTAGCTTACCTGCGTATATTTTAGTAAATAGGTCGCTAAATTAGGCTTCAAATCGTGTCAAAGTAACAGGCAGCTCTCACTAAAAAAGAATAATAACTGTTATATATATACCTAGTACGACACTGTAAATCAAAAAAACTATTATATGCGCAACATGTTTTAAGATAACAACTTCAAACTGTTATTTAACACAATAGAGGATAAATATAAATATATTTATCCCATAAATTAAAATAAAAAACATTTTAATAGCAGAGATCTTGTATTAATAACTCGTATAAATATAATTTCAATTACTATAATTACTGTTGGAATATCTTATATTACACCCATTGAAGATAATAATGATTTTGGGTTAAAATTATCACTTTATTAGAATTATATTATGATTCATGCTGTATACCGCGCCCAATTTGACAAACATATCGCGTTGAAGTAATGTTTACAGACTAGTAACATTACATCGTTATAATACATAACAAAATTAAACATAATACAATTACTATAAAATGTCAATTTTAACCCCCTCTAATTAACACTAATAATATATATCATGAATGGGAAAGTTTCAGTCTTAGTTTACGACAACTGATGACACATACATGTTCAACAATAAACGTGTAGCACTAAATAATAACGAACAAATTTTAATATCGAATATTAACTTTGCATATATCAAATACCTACACATATACTTTATATGACTCAAGCAATGTTTAAATATAAAAAAATAAGTCGCCGTAAATTTTTCGTGACCTGCTTTTTGCTATAAAGCGGTAAAAATGATATTAATTCTATTGTAGCAATAATTTTTTAATTTTCATGTACATTTAACATCTGTATGAGATGACTAATGAGCATAAATAAATTTATAATTTTGTTAAAAACTAGATACACAGTGATATATGGAAAACGTCTTTATGCTATATATTTTTACCCACATAATTAACTAGTGTATTCATTTAATGTGCACATTGATAAGGACTCATTTAGCTTTATTTAAATTTATTTCGATAAGACTTTGTCCAAACGTAACGGCCTAATTTGGTATAGATAATTATTTTAAAGCAGCATTAAATTTAGGTCTCGGAAATAAATTTAAATAATTTATAAATTACTCAAAACACAATTAAATGATTCCCTTTGTTAATTTATTTATTTTTATATTACATCCTCATTTAGAGTACATGAAACATAGATGTCGTCGACATGTTTTATCAAATCGAGTAACTGACCTGTAAGGCATTTATCAGCACGAATTATGAGCTCAATTTTAATACAAGTACCAGTATTAACTAGATTACTTACATAAGGACTACTATACACGGGTGACAATTATAAATATGACTATTACCTTATTAAGTTCACGAACCTATCCAACTGCATATAGGTTACAACTCGTTACAATATCACAAAGGAAACAACCACAGACTTAATAAATGTGATAGAATTGTAACAGTGATAAAATGTCACATTTATTTCTAACTGTAAGTTAAACAGTAACACAAATTTTTAAGTCAAGCGTTTGTATTAAATGGCTAATAATGTATAACCATATGTAACAATAATTGTCCATTGAACTTTTTTAAAAAGACCTAAAAGACATTTACTGTATTTTAGTAAATAATGAGTTTTCATAAGTTTGCCAAAATGTTGCAAATGGTCAGTAAACATCAAATATTTAGACGATCTTTCATTTGCTGCTTAATATAATTATGGTCATTGCGTGACATATATTTATTTATATATTATATATATACGTGATATATACTCTTTAAAATATTCGCATCTTCAATACACTTCGCGTCTGATTTACATTTTCCAATAACAATGAAATCAGTAACATGATTTGATAGAACATGCGACGATATCGACTTATACTTCGAGAAGTAGTCATTCTGTCTACGTAAGACGAGATCTCTAATATTGTGTCACTCTTATGTTAATGTAGTGACCTTTCGTATAAGGAATTCACACTGAGTCATCACCAGTTGTTTCATTTCTAGTATAAAATAGAAATAAACAGGTAACAATAGCAAATAAACGGCGACTTAACACGTCGGTTTTTGGCTCGACTGCCATATACGGTCGCTATGGCTTGAATTAGAACCACGGAATTACAGGGAAACGGTCGCTTGTGGTCTTTTAAAAATATTATAGGTACTGTGTTTGAAGTCTATTTCATAATATAATTATTGACCGTTGATGAAATAACTTATTTATCGCAGTCAAATTACTAGGCAGATTGAAATATTTTTAATAAAAAAAATTACGTTAAATCATATGCATATTTTCTTAGCGCTTATATTATAGCGAATTGCATTATTTTCTGATGAAATAATATGCGAATTTATTATCTAGTATACAGAAACAAAAATAAAAACTTAAACTAATAGTTCTTTAGTGTAGAACCGCATTTTTACTACTCTGCTTTTTAAATGTATTGGCCGGTTTTAGATTTTTTTACTGTTATCTATAGATGAATAAAGAAAGTATGCGTAAAATTTTATTACCAATAATTTAATATTTAATAGATAGCACATTTCTTTAACAAATTTAAATTTTTAATCAATTAAATTAATAAAAAGTTTAATAACATATTTGGTATTTCGCATAGTTTGAAATATATGTTTTTCTCTAAATAATTAATATTAGTTTCATATTCACACGATAAATATTTTAAATATTTTTCTTGTATTTTTTTTTGTATTACAAAATTATTAATTTTTTTACACGCAAGACACATTAAAATACTTGAATTCATTCATTAATGCAATGCAATCACAGTACACTAATAACAATTTTACAAAATTCAACCTGACCTTCGTTAATTTAACCCTATGCCGTCTGCATCTGACCACAACCGACCACTCCCGATATTGTATTCGTACCGCCTAGTTTAAGCGCAAGCGACGTTCGTTAGAGGCGTGACAGCGTGCGGCCACAGTGGCTATTGGTCGCTTGTTCCTTGACGCGGCGCGGACGAGGACGCGGGAGCGGAACCGGAACCAGAGGCGGTAGCGGCGGGCGACAGCAGCATACTGACATCCCACACCTTGATGACGCGGTCTTTCCCGGCCGTACACATGCGACCCGTCGCCTCGTCGACGTACAGCGACGACACCGCGTGCTTCATGTCGTGGAACGAGGCAAGCGACTCGCGACTGTGAACGTGCACCGATTTTTAGTTGGGGACTTTGATATATTTAAAGATTTCAATAAACAACTCCCTACAATAGACATGATCATATATGACTAACTATTCTTTATAGTATTTATAGGCCTACTTTACTTTTACTTAAATACATTAAAATGTACATTTAAATGTAAATTGGACTCCAGTCTTCGCAATTAGCCTCTCAACTTAAATATATTTAAAGATTTCGCTGAAAACATACCTACAATAGACATACAAATTTACCATCGCCTTAAAACTATATTAATTATACAATAGACATGTTGCTAAATGACAATTTGTTCTAAATAGCATTTACGAGACTGGTATTTTTATATGTATATGTATGACTGTAATCGCAAACTAATTTTACGGCCTCCTACTGTCATGCCAATCGACGCCATGAAAAGCACGCAGGCAACACGTCATCATGTAACAGATACAGCTCTTCCGGAGCAATACGAGATAGAACACTATGAGATCGTATCCTGTAATTTGAATGCCTTATCTCACTCTTCATTCCAAACACATCTTACGATGCAAGATTCTAGGCAGCTAAAATAGAATTTGTGAAATAGTAATTGAAAATTGTTTTATACTATGTAATGATATATGCTAAAATATTGAAATATTATGTAATCCTGTATTATATTCATCAGCGTCAGCGTCGTGATCAAAATTGTGATTATAATCATATTATGTAACAGTACTTAATGACTTTAATTTTGCCAGTAGAACGAGAATACTATGTTACGCAGGCATGACGTTAATCTCTACGATGTATATCACTAGGATACTTATAATCAATATCATACTATATATCATATTTTATATAATTAATTTGTAACAACTATCTTTTATAGGAATTTATATCCTATGACGGCAATTAGTATACGTAATAAAGATACTTACGGCTCATGCCTGAGCGTTTCATAACAGAGCGTGCAGACACGCTGTGGGAACTCGAAGCCCATGATTGGCAGCGGCAGTCTGTGTGGAGAACACGTCGCGCAAACTGCCGCACCGCACCACCGGCAGTGGTGTTGCCGCAACCCTACATTTTTACATATACAAACGTTGTATTACTGTTATTATTATTTAATCATTAATTTTCGAAACAAAAATATTGAAGCTTTTTAAATAGGAAAAGTATAAATATTTTACTTTTTTTCAGCATAATAAGTAAAATATTGGTCCTTTATGAGCTTATAAAATTTTAATGTGTTGCTTATTATTTCTATTTCTTTTTTCATATTTATTTCATTTTTAATACTTTAAAATCATGCATTTAGGACAAATTTATATTTAAAGAAAATGAAATACATTCAAGTAGGTTTGTGGTTTAGTATCCATAGTACAGGCTCTGTTTAGCTTGGGACTAGATAGCCGTTTATGACGTACACATTGTGTACAATGTTTACATTAATTTTATAAAGAGAAGAGATTGTTTTTGATTTAGTATATTCATAATGAATAAACACAAAAAGTACAATACCGATATTAAAATTTATTTCACCAATATTCTTTTGCTTCATTGTCTCTGACTATAAGACTATATTTATTTCTAGAATAAAATATGGATCCCTATTAAAACTTTAATAATACAACCCTTTATTTATAAAGATAATAATTGTTATTATACTTTCAATGGTCGCGGGGTCGATTCCTCCCAAGGTGGAAATATTTGTATTCATTGTGTGATTCTTTGTATCGGTCTGGGTGTTTTCTATGTTATTTTAGTATTTATATCTGTTGTCTAGAACTCATAACACAAGCTCTGCATGTATTAATAAAGTCTATTTGAATAAAGATTATATTAGATTATATTTATTTCCATTTCGTGGGACTAGATGGCACTGTGTTAATTGTCCAGCGTTATTTATTAATGTAATAAAAGTAATACCTAATTGTTTCATCTCCATCATGGCCCGCACGTTCCATATGAACGGCGCGTTACATATCTGGCAGAGGTCGGCCTCCTTCCATGCGGGAGTCTCCCGGCGCGGGACGCCCATCTCCCAGACGCCGAGGGCTCCGTCCTCGCCGGCCGACACCAGCCGCTCGCACCCACTCACGTACCACAGGCCCGTCACTTTGTTACTGGAATGACATGCTACATTATTAGGAGCATTCACTACCAGATATGCGCATGGCGATAAGCGATGTAAAACATTTTTTATGGTGTTTTATGTCTGCGCAATAAAGTATTAGTATTATTATTAAAGTCTGGTAACCTTATCTGCCAATTTTCTGAAATCATTGTCAATATTTCCTAACGATTACTTAAATATGCACTTAAAATAATATGTCAACAGTGAACCACGGTTGAGTTATATATCAGCGATAATCGACATTTATTCATATATATATAGTTAGAGACATGCATATAAACTTTTTATCTTCTAACATAAATATTCTTTATTTGGAAAAACGCACATGTAGTGGTTCCACAGTTATATAAAAGGTCTGGTCGTTCGTACGAATAACGATCCGAAGGACTCCGATTGGCTATCTCCAAAGAGAGCGGAACGTATCAAACAAATTAAATATTAGGAGCCTACCAAACCAAATAAAATTAAATCCAAATTGTAAAGAAAGCCGTCCTACAAGGATACATAAACACAAGACAAGCATATGACGTCAGTACTTACGCCAAATAAGAAAACTAAATTTCCATAATATTACATACCTATGTCCTTGTAATTCATATGCCGTGCCTTTTTGTCCACCAATATCCCATACAATAATTGTTTGATCGAATGAACCGCTGAACAATAATTGGCGTATTGGAGCCCAATTCAGTACTCTTACTGATCTGAAACATTAATCAACAGTAACTCACAATTCAATCTATGAAAATAAGTGTTTTTGAGACTTCCACGCGGTTCCCCCTGGAAATCATCAAGATAATTTCTTGGTGAATTTACCATGATGAGCTAACTGACCTGACCTTATTTTTATCTTATCATTCACCACTGGTGCCTTCCAGCGTAAATCGTTAGCGCAGACGAGTGCACCATTTCATTATCATCGTTTAAAAAACTGATTATACTGTTTAGATGCCAAAAGGTAACAAATAACAAACGTGATACCTACTTAGGCAAAATTAACTTCATTTGAAAAAACATGTGATAAATTAACACCATGTACAATCGTAAACATCACTGTCCAATGAACAAAGACCTCTATGTTCTATGCGAATTCATACAGCGGAAGGATCAGGTTGAGTCTCATTATTTGCATGACTGAGTCTGTTAAAACGTACATACATTTTTAAGGTAAGGATAATACAAAAAAAAATATTGGGTAGTAATGTGACAATTTTAGTTGTGTTTTAACACGTCTTAAAAAGCAGTCTGTCAGACTTCCGATTGAACCGGGTTCGATAGCCACATAATATAATCGTTTATACACGAGTAATAGTGCTTATAAGACTGCTTGAGTGATTTTTGTCTAGTTACCTTTATAACTTAGTTATTTTTAATAAACAACTACAGATAGTATGCGATATTTCAGTCATTTGTATATTAAAAATATAGATATCTTTACATAATATACTTACCCAGTGTGCCCTTTTAATGTAGTGACTAGAGTAGCACCATTATTGTCCAATTTTAACATGGTTATCTGTCCACTGTAATCGCCCACAAACGCATATTTAGATTGTGAGTCGAACCTGACATTATTTATTTAGGAAATAATGTTGGATAACAACAATATTATAGCAACTTTTAATGAACTCTTATCAACTGTACAGTTAAATTTATTCCATGATAAACACGAGTATATAAATGAGAATGCACTTAGTTTGACTTTAAATATATTTTATCTATATAGGTCTATTATTTATTATTGAATATTTTTTTGACAATATACTTTAAAATGCATATACATACATACATATATAACATAGAATCATATCTCTGGATCTATAATTTGTCTCATTACAAGATACTCTTTTTGTAAAAAAATTCCGGACTATAAGGGACATCCCTTAAGATAAAATGATAAGATAAGGGATAACCCTTAGGCAGCACTCTATAATCCAACAAATTCGATGGTCTGACACTGCCCTGCAAAAAGTTTGTCAGATAATCGAGGGTCCACTGTATTACCATATTTAATATAATATGTCAGCCTATGTGACATATAAAATAATCTGTTCTCATTCTTTATGCTATTTCGATTTGATAGACTTAGAAAAATAATACATAATACTAGAAAAGGATACTGTAAAGCTGTGCACCACGCCTCGAAAGAGTACCCGCCAATCCTACGGCCTGTCTCACTGCAGTGATATGAAAACAATTTGTCTCTGCTCACTGACAGCACCCATTCACAACTTAAGGAGAACACAACTGCTGTTACTCTTGCTGTGTGCGCCAGATATTCCCTTGTCTACGAAATAATAACAAATTTAATATTTGTGTTTCATAAATACAAACTTCATTTCTAAGAAACAGACCTATGGACCGCTAAGAAATCACAGCATTGGAAAAATACAATTGAATTGAATAGAAAACAATTTATTCAAATAAACTTAATTTAAGCACATTTGAATAGTCATAACAATTTTTTTTAATCAAGAAGAAGGAGCATGAAACTTTTGTGTTACCCTAAATATAAAAACAAAATAAGCTTAAATCAGTCTTATTGATAAGAGTACAACACTCGTTCACAAGTATGACAGAATGGAAAACATTCTTTCTAAAAATAGCTCAGGGAGGGACTCCTGTCTTGACAAAATTTGTATAGATATAAAATAATAAAATTAATAGTTAAGACTTAAGTTAAATTCAGATCTTCCTTCTTGTCAAATTGATATGAGTGCATTTAATCCCAGCTCCCATTACATAACATAAAAAATAAAAAGGCGGTTTTTAATGGTAGATTGTTTTTTTACCCCTACCAGTTTTTATTATGCAATTTGGATGGCAAACAAGATTATGGCAGAAGGTAAGTATCACCAAAGCTTATATAAATAAACAGCATGGACATCACATCATTTGATACATTGCCATTGTCATTCTGGTGAACCAAAGAGTCAAGCTTCCATATCCTGTAATTTCACTGCCAAATGTCAATCATCGACTGAAACACAGCTTACAAAACAAACTGGTAGATTTTAGATGTGTCAGAGGCAGCCATGCAGATGATTATACAATGTCTACCTAAAGTTAATAATGGCAAGCATTCAATATATATTTATTAAGAAAAAATTAAGAACAAACAGAGCATATATACTAGTAGCATAAAGAGGTAAAGTTTGTGAGATTTTAGGGGTAATTGCTATACATATTGAACCAATTTTGAAAATTGTTATAGTGTTAGACAGCCCCATTATTGTGAAATGCTATAAGCTATGTAACATCACACTACATGTGGTGTTGCAATGAAAAATGTTGCAGAAACAGATAAATAGTGAAACAAAATAAGTATATTATAAATCGTAAATTACAACAGTAACAGATCACATACAGCATTTATCCTATTGCAATCCATTGCCAGTGTGAATTCTGAAATAGTTCCATTCTCTTGTCCGATGAATAATTGGCGGGTTTCTGGAGTGTAGAACATGGAGGTACAACCTGATGGCATATACTGACAGATACTAGGCCAATACTGGCCCGAGTCACGTTTCAGCCATACTCTTACTGTTCTGAAAATTAGAATTAAAACATTATAAATATACTGCTTTTTTAAAATGCAATAATTAATAAACAATCTAGGTATTAATATAAAATTAGTAATAAAAATACTGATGGACATTTCATTTCAAAACAGGCATGTAAAGATTTTTGTCAATGTTTTGGCAATAAAAAGTCTTTACATGCCTGTTATTTCAAAATAACATATGATATAGTTTATTTATTAAATATCATTACATAAAGAAAAACAAAATGTATATCATTCACAATGTTTCATGAAAACTAATAAGAATCAAAGACAATGTTGGACAAATATAGGAGTGTCCATTAAAATGAGTCATCAAAATTAGTGTAGAATTGGTATTTGGTAACTGGTCATTGAGTAACTGATACAACTTCTGAATTTGCTGCATAAATTTTTATGTGAACTTTGAACAATTTTAAATTTACATATGTTAAAAACTTTTTACTAAAGACAAAATTAATGTAATTGTTTGTAAATTTAGAAACTATTTGACTAGATAGAGAAAGAAAGAAAGTTATCCTATGTATTAAAATGTACAGTTTGACAGGGCACCATCATTATTAGTTCATACAAATGACAATATTCCTAATCTAGCAGGAGCATTAAATAGTTAGAAGATGTATTTGTGATTTAGAGCAGAAAGGAATACTGGAAGGTTAATCCATTTAATTAATTTAAAGGTTAGTGTAAATGGTTGCATCATCCGTATGTTTATGATCACCAGTATATTTATACAGATATACATCATCATCAACCAAGTATATGAAACGCTGAAAACAACTGTGCCCAGTTGTGCCCTGCTGGGCAGCAACTTGTATCTTCAATTTATGAATGTGTGAATGACAGTTTCGAATAACAGATTACGTATTGTGAATGGTTATCCCAATTAAGGTCAGTTTAAGTGTTATTTTTGATAGTACAGTATAATATAAAAATAAACAAAAAGTACGCAATTATGAATATTTACGTATAATGGAGGGTATATAACGTCAAGCAAATTTAACGGTTTCATTTTTACAGCATAGTTCCGTAGTAACGCTAATGTAGAAGTCAACATAATAAAATCCTTTCGTAAATACAAATCGGAACACTTACTTATCATCGCAAACGCTAATTACACCATCCTCCCCAGGTATCACTACAGCGGCGTTTACGTCGTCAGTACAACCTTCCAATTTGTTTAATAGCGCTGGTTTCTTTGTAGTGGAAAATCTATCATTAGGTGTTCTAGGTGCAGGCTTAATTTCAGCAGCCATTATTGTAGTTTTTCAAAGCAAATAAACGAGGATTTATAGAATATTAAACACTTCTTTCAATTAAATAATCCAACAGACAGAATTACGAACAAACTCAGACACGAAATTGACTGTCATTGAAGTGACATTGACATAGACAGCTGACACACAAAGTGACAAGTTTGACAGTCAGCCCTAGGGGGGGTAACGGTTGAGGTCTCGGGACGAGCATGTTTGCTCCGACATCAACTTCCGAGGTAACAATCCCCGGGTAACCAGATTGGCAGATTCTTGGGTTACTTAAATATTTTCGGACTAACTAATAAAATAAAAAATATCCATGTATCAAAAAATTAAGATTAAGATAAGTTAATATTTTAAAATGTTGGTTTTAATAACAGGGTTACTAAAATCAACATTTTAAAATATCGGGCAGGTAATTCGCGCACGCAGACTCAATCTAGTTATCCGGGGGTTGGTAGCCCGGAATTTATAAAGGTTGCCCCTCGAGCCAAATGAGCTCGCCCCGATGTTCTGTGCCCCGAAGCCACTTCCTAGAGGGGTCTTTCGAAAGAAACATTGCGTTGATGGAAGAGTATAAAATTTTACACACTTAGTTTATACCGAGAAGTGCCTGCGTTGCACACATGTTCGTCAATGTATTTATATAAACACATTGTATACAAAAACCTGTGCTGCGTGTACGGCCTGCATTCCGTATAATATTAATTAAGCTTATTCTTCTTTATAAATATTTATCTACTAAGCAAATAATCACTTTACAATTTTTCTCAAAAGTAACAATGATAACTGACGTGACAACTGAGTGAAATGTCAGTAATATCATAGTCGTATTCACCTGTCATTATTCGACAATTTACGTTAAAACTTTTTTTAGTACTTCTTCAACCCTTGTACTATTTATATATTCTTAAATCGTTATTTATTTAATTTTTATTAGTTTGTATTTGTGTTCCACACGTGGCGGCCGGTTGCTTGTAGTAAAATGGCTCAGGCATTAAAGAAATTAACTGTTCAAGTGCTTAAAAATAATAATGTAGAAAATATCATCGGTTCCACAGCTGTTAGAACGAACAGGTATGCCGGTAGAAGTAAGAAAATTTACGTAATAAATACCTATATGCAGCTATTGTCTACAATGTAAACGATCATAAAATAACCATAAATTATTTGGACTCGAATTTATATGTGGCAAAAAAAAATTTTTAAGATGCTTGCATTATAATTTTTTTTAACAGTGTTATAACCACCTTAGCTTTATATTTTGATGATGTATCATGTTTTGCTTTCGTAATGGTTTCTAATTTAACCACTGTCCTTTAATAGCTAATTAGCTATCCACTGCATAATATAATATGTACTGCATATTAGCTAGGCTAATTAATGGCGACCATTTTCCTTAATTAAAGCACAGGAAGGTGGGTAAATTAACAATTCATGACCAAAGTAATTTGTTATATTGTTAGTATTATTTCATAATATAATATAATATTTCATCACTGTGTCTGTGACATAATATATTTAGGTTAATATTATATTCAGTTCTTTGAATCAAAATAATAAAAATATAATGTCACAATTTATTACTATAATTTTATTAATTTGTATGATGGTGGTATGTTTGAAACCCTTTATTATATGATATTTATAATCAAGCAAAATTTATAGCAATTATCTGTTACCCAGAACTTCATATCTTTTTTATTTAGATAGAATATGATTTGATATAATTTATTCTTTTAGTACATTTTAGTAACTTATGTCAGTAAAGTTATGTATTCCTTTCATTTTTTTTTCCTACCATCTTTTTGTATCATATAAAAAATGCTTGAATAATAGTATCATTGCTAGCTAGAATTATGGATATCATGGTAAATCAAAAAATGAATTCTCAATGGCAACATGTATTAACTAAATTGTTGCCTCATACAGTACATGGTGGAACAATGTGCAGATGGGTCCACCAGATGTGATCCTTGGCATCACAGAAGCATTCAAAAGAGACACAGACCCTAAGAAGGTCAACTTAGGAGTGGGAGCTTATAGAGATGATGAAGGGAAACCCTTTGTGTTGCCATCTGTTAGAAAGGTGTGTATTACCTGGTTTTGATATGGATTAAAATGTATTAAATATATTATTTTCATCTAAGTTTCTTCAGCTATTTACTGTTACTTCTTGTAAAACTGAAAAGCAAGTGAAAAATACATATTTTTTCATGAATAGTGTTTATTATGTACATGATAATTTAAATAGTTTTCTTCAGCTCTAAAATTACTGTAATTTAATAAATTATTATATGTATTTATATTAATTCTTAGTTATGTAGGTACTAATGAAATAATAAAATCAATAACTAACTAAATAACTCTTTTACTAACTTATTTAAACAGAAACTCATATCATATTTTTGTTGCTTGTATTATGTTTACCAAAATATTTACAAACCATTATGGTTTGTAAATATACTACTATAATATATGTACTAGTAAGACAGTGCTGCTTGTATGTGTGGTCATAAGTCCTTAACCTTTCCAATAAATATTGTGAATAAGACTCATACTGTGTAAACCCATTGTAATTTTCTAAGTGCTATTCTACTGAAGAGTATAGTTTGAAAATCCCATATTGCTCAGATTCCTATGTTATTGATATATTTAGTATTTATGATCAGTCAAATTATTTTCCTATGCCAATTGACCACAAGTCTTATTTTTATTTAGGCAGAAGAAATCCTTCACAGCAGGTACCTAAATCACGAATATGCACCCATCGGCGGCGAGGCCGCGTATACTGATGCTGTTGCTAAGCTCGCGTTTGGTGCAGACAGTCCAGTTCTCAAGGAAAAGTCCAACTGCACGGTGCAAGTAAGTGACGTCAAATCTACATAAAAATATCTTATCTGATACATAACATTTTAAGGCCATATATATATATATTGTTTTTTTTAATAAATAAATAAAAATATGCTGTTGAAATATGTATAAGAAAGAATAATTTACGTCACGTACTTCTATTCTCCACACAGACAAAGCCAAAGAGACATATAAACGACCCAGAAACCGTATAGTATAACACTTCGGGGCACGCACATTTATATTTATATACTACTGTGTCACTCTGCACTACCCACATTTTTGCTAAAATATTGTAAGTGGTTACTTGCGATTTGTGTAGTTTGCGTTGGCATTTAAGTTGCCAAGCAGTTTGCTTTGTGTGCTTTGTTTCAGTTGTAGTATGAAGTAAGGCAGTGAAATTAGAGGATAAGTGGCATGATAAGATGTCATTCTGGTGTTCTTTGGAATGGCAACGCATGATATCACGAGCATCAAATGTAAACATGATATCCATGGTTCATGTATGGTATATAGGCGACGATTACAACTTACCATCACGTGCGCCATTAATTTGTTTACCATTTCTATTACATGAAAAAAAGATTTATCTATGCACCTACGAATTTTCATTCGAATCCGTCTAGTGAATGAAAGAAACATTAATTCTATCAAACATAGGCTTTAATTTTCTTTCTATTATTAAATTTGCAATTTCTTGTTTTGATCATATCTAGACACGCGGTAGCGTGTCAAGCCGAGTTTCATGTAAACTGGCAAGCAGCACCGTGTGTATATTTACACGAACCATTTGGAGCCACTTTTGACCCCCTCATAACTCAAAAACTCTTTCACACAAACCTGTCAAATTTGTTCATATATTGAGACTTGCGAGATAAATATGTGTTCCAAATTTCATAAACATATCTCAAACGGTTATTTAGATATTAATGTCCAAAAATCGTCATTTTTATCACTGATCAACTATAGATCAAAATTATAACCCATTTCCAGATGACCTAGGAAGTTCAAATTTGGCATGCAGATAGTTAATTAGGTGAATATAAAGGAAAAAATCTGAAACTGGTAAATTGTTATCATTTTACTACAATTTTTCACTTTAATTGATTCTATTTCAACTTATACTGGACGAATACTAAAATTCTATGAAAACGTCGATAGCCACCAATTGACATTGATCCCTGGCGAAATATCTCATCTTGTACTGGACGGAAAGTAATATTGTATGAAAACGTCGATCATTACCAATTTACGTTGACCCCTTCACATCAGTGTCGATAACTAGCAAACTTCAAATATTGCATTGAGCGGTAAACACTAGTTGCTATAATTTAGATTCTGTCTAAAATATACTCGTACTTATAACTAGGAGTATAGTCGAATTTCGTATTTATTATGTTATTAACTGAGATTTGGTATTAATTATTGTTTCAATATTTAGCGCACATCGATAGTGTAAGATCATTATTTTTATAAATAATTATTAAATAATAGGCATATCGGTATAGGGCGCCGCCGCGCCGCGGCGCCGTGTGGGAGCGGTGCGATAAAACGTTGAACTAACCTATAAGGTTGGTATTTATGCTACGAAATTCATAGTTTTCTTAAATTATACTTATATATTTGTGGTTATATTATTATTACATTATTTTAGTAAATACGTATGGTATAGACAATAGTTTAAACCAAAAATTAATAACAATTTTAGTATAGTTATAAGTAGGAATGTATAGTTAACTCGAGAATGAGAACTCATTGGTAACAAATTGTTTTCTTGAGAATTCAATAGATAACAGTCAATTTGTTACATAATCGTCTTTACGAACTATAACATGTCAATACGAAGTTTCAGATATTAAATAATGTATATGTTGAAAGAGAACAATTCCGTATTTGCTTAACATATGCTATTACTATCCACAAATCACAAGGCCTTAGTTTTGGCAGTCCTCTTCTCAACATAGGCTCCTCTATATTTAATAAAGGGCAGGTTTACGTTGGACTCTCCAGAGTTAAAACCTTAGATGGAGTACGTCTTAACAATTTAGATCCAAGTCACGAGAGATTGTAGAGTACAACCATCTGTGGACGTTATACCGCCCCGATTTGCCCAAAAATTCCTGATACTGAATTGGCATTGCACTTGAACATTTAAAAGTTACAAGAAAATATAGAAAATAACACAAAAAAAAAGACAATTATACCCCGTAAATATACGAAAATACAGTAATTTATCAAAAATAATTTGGTATTAATTTAGTTATAAATAAGTACCTCGTATAATTTATGTACAAAAAGTAATGATATCCCATCAAAAACATAAATGTGAAATGATAGCCGAGTTTAATATTATGATATATACCTTGATTGTTGACTTCTACGACAAAAGAGATGAGATCTAAATGGGTGCCAAGTTCAATGGTCTGTCCTGAAATGTATTTATAACAATATAAAATATAATTTCTTCTTATAACTTAGGATAATATACTGTAGCCTAAGGTCTAACTTGGCTAGTTTTCATATACGAAATATACTGTAGCCTTCGCAAGTTCTAAACATGTTACTTGTCGGTTCCTATTTTAATATTAGTAGTAACTAGCAATCGAAAGTAATAATTGGTATATGAGAACTGGCCAAGTCAGACCTTAGGCTACAGTATATTATCCTAAGTTATAAGAAGAAATTATATTTTATATTGTTATAAATACATTTCAGGACAGACCATTGAACTTGGCACCCATTTAGATCTCATCTCTTTTGTCGTAGAAGTCAACAATCAAGGTATATATCATAATATTAAACTCGGCTATCATTTCACATTTATGTTTTTGATGGGATTTTTTATATTTCGAAATTCATTTATTTACCATCTACTATGAATTCATTTATCTAAGAAAAAATGAATCAAATAATAATCACTAAATACCTACATTTTTATCTATATCGATATGCTCTATGTGATTGATCACACTGTTTGTTGGTATGTTGTCGTCAACCAACCAGTCTGCCTAACATGAAAATATTTTCATACGAAAATTCACACTACTTCGAAATAGTCCGACTAATATTGAAAATTAAAAATTTTTTTTTGAGGTTTTGATCGCAAGTAAAGTTATTACACCATCGAAAGCAAGACTACCACCACCAAGGTACATATACTGATAGACACGTTGCTTTGCGTATATGGTTTGTGGTAGTCGACAAACCACTGGCATTGGCTTTACCGAAAATCTAATAGATTTTCAGTAAAGCCAATTTAAATTTCTAAATTAGTTTAGCGCTTAAGGATTCAATTAGTACTGTTATGATTGATGGGGGATTGCCTCTACATCAATCATAAATAGATTAATTTGATATAACCCGTTGATGGAGCTATACTAGCTCATTATTATTACGCCTTTTACGCGAATTAATAAATCCTATTGGTTGTACCCATAAAATGATTTTTCATATTACTTGAATGGAAAACTGACGATCTCATCAACCGTCGCATATGTACATCAACATAATATAATACCATCAAAAATGTACTACTTGAGTTCCTAGCCATTTCTTCTCAACTCGAATTGGATGGTAGGGACAGTGATAAATAATACAACGTGCAGATGAGGCCGTAAGGTCCTATGTGACTAAATTATTCTGAATTTGAAAATTTGAAACATCTCCACGGATCACGATGTCATGAAACTCTCAGGATATCAGTGATGCGTTACTAATTCTGAGGAATATGTCATGCTTCAAATCGCACCCTGTAATGTGACTATCATGTATCAACCTTCTAACCGGAACAGCTTACACAACAAGCTGCTTAGCGATGGAAATAAGTAACACTGCTATACTTTGGTAAAAAAAAATAATTCGTGCAAAAATTCTTCTTCTTCTTTTAATATTCTGGGATGTGTACCTAGATGTTTATTGCTTATGTTCTCAAGATACCGAGTAATCTAGTACGTAGACTAGACAATCGATGCTTGCGTGTCATATGACCTGAATTAATACCATAATTAAATTATTTGCTTACCTACCACACTGCTATTTAGCAGTAACCTTATACATTCGAGTAAGGTTATTTTTTGTATATTATATTTAATGTAAAGTTTTGAAAGTGATAAGATATATTTGCGAAATTTAGTGGACATTGCACAGATTCAATCTTATCAGTCGCCTCATAATATTGTGCTATCAATATCAGGAGGGTAGTGACCAGCAAGGAGTTTCGTGCTCCTAAAGGTTTCATATCTACATAAACGAAAGGTATCCTGATTGTAGGTGAAATACAGATATCTACATCTATATTATTTGGTAATATGAATGTATTTCTTATGTATGTTAGTCTATAAGGTATTTGTAATATGGGCCATGTAGCCTGAATTAAATAAATAAATATATTCATGAAAGAAGCTTGATGGGAAGGGAGCTATTAGAAATGGGGTCATTGACCCATTGTTACTGATTTACCATGTCAAGTCGCCTTAAAACCGATCGCCCCTGGAAACCATCGTGGTTAATTCCTGGTGAATGCAATATGGTGGGCTAAATGACCTGATTTTATTACTCGTTGTATGAACCTCCAGTAGTACCTACATACTTGCGTATATCGTTACCACAGGCGGGTCCACCATTTTATGTTCTTGCAATACTGACTTCAAAAAAACAACTAATCAATAACTACCTTATCTTTTATAGAATCACAGATAATAAAAGAATAATTTATTTTTTTGTTTATTGCACATGTAATAGGTACATCATTATGATATATTATTTATAGATAATAAGATTGTATGTTATTTGTACAGAAAAATATATTTTTATTACTAAATTAAAAAAAAAAGCATTCACATATTACAAAAGTCATAAGTACTTGGCCTATGAAGTTGCAATTGTTCAAGTACTCCTCATGACGTACAGATATCCTCACAGGTTCTAAAACTATCTTATTGCCAATTAATGGATCGTTGATACAAATTTTATAATGTTGTTGAAATAACAAAAAAATTGTTAGCACAAGTGCACAACGTTGTCCTTGAATGTTGTAAAATATTATTAATCAACCTATTACTGCTACTTTTTAACCGACTCCAAAAGGAGCCTGTATTTTTTCATTTCGGCTGTATTTTTTTAATGATTGTACTTCTTAACCCCGTCATTTATAAACCAATTTGAAAAACATTTTTTATATGGAAGTAGGTATACTTTCTGATTTGCCATTTATTTTTGGAGTCCGGATAAAAAATCATTGTCGTTTTTAAAACATTTAGCTTTAAGATACAAGATTTAAAAAATCTTGTATCTTTAATTCAAGATTTTTTAAATCTTGAATCTTAAAACTAAATGTTTTAAATTATGTTAGGCAAAATAACGCCTAAAAATAAATAAAATAGAAGTTATTCAGTGAAATTCGTGTCTTATTGTCATTCTCTTGGGATTGACTTTTTATTTTTATATATTTATATGCAGTCCAATAAGGTCAATTGTATGATTTATATACTTGCACGGCTGGTCGAATGTTTATAATATGCATCACATTAGTTTCAATGAGTTGTATTTATCTAGAAAGAAATTGCTTTTGTCATATACATTGAAGTACTTGCTTCATGTAACTTTAAATTCGAGCACAAATCACTCACTTCGGAGAATTTGTTCTCTAAATTCACCCGACCAAAGATTTTACGCGGTTCCATTTGCAAAATCAGTATACCTACTTTATCTACCACTACGCTAAATAGGTATTCAAAATATATTAATATATACCTAGGTATAATTATTATGAAACTGGTGTATGTTTTTGTTAATGTTATAATGATAAATCTGCAGACGATATCCGGAACCGGTGCCTTACGTCTTGGTTTTGAATTCATCTCAAAACATTACGCCAAGAATAAAGAAATCTGGTTGCCGAGTCCTACATGGGGGAACCACCCCCAGATATGCAACACTCTCGACATATCACACAATAAGTACCGCTATTATGACCCGAAGACCCACGGTTTTGACCTGCAGGGTGCCATCGAAGACATCCGAGTAAGTATACATTAATATAAATATTGTATTACTCAAAACTTTAATTAAATCCATCTAAAAAGTGTTTTTCAAGATATCGTATCGTCAAGCATATAACGTGGCACATGAGTTCCATTCCCTGTTTTGTAAGATTATTTTCTGTTAATTATATTTACCATCACCGGCGAGTACGTCAGATATTTAAAGAACACAGAATATTTTTGATGTTTAAATTTTAACTCACAGTCTTTGCTACCTGTAAGTGGAAATTATGAACACAAAGTTTACTATGGCATAATTTGATTTAATAATACATTTTAACATACAATTTAAGTTTATATTGTATATGAACAAACGTATAATTGTGATTTTATAACTCTTATCATGAAGGCCTAATGTCATTAAATTGTCACCATTAACAATGACGTACACCAAATTTAATGACATACACCTAGTAATTCATGATTAATAAATTATAGCGAAATAGTCGGCCTTTGTTTTTCCTCAGGATACAATTTATTTTCACGTCAAAATGAGTTATTTAGTGGTGAAAAGGTAACAAACACGACACTTTCCGCATTTATAATCTTAGTATCAATTATAGAATAGTAGCTAAGTTGAATGTATATGTAATATGCTGCTCAGAGAACAAACCATAGATAGACATATTTAGCATTTAGCTGGCATCCATTGCTATGCCGCAGTATTCCCGCAATTCTTATTGAATAAAGTATATAATATAGATAAATAGTATGTAGATAACGCCGTATGGTGTTAAGTCCGCCATATGTGCTTTAAAATTATGTGCATTAAAGTTTAAATATATAACATGCACCCTTTGACTCTTACTTAATATTTCTTAATACATTATTATTGTAATTGTAATTATACGTATAATAAATATAACAAACAAACAAATGCTTTATCTGTCTATCTAAAAATCTGATTAAATAGTTAAGCTGTCTTAAAAAACAAATTTAATGAATTGCAATGTGTTTGTGTTTCTATATTTAATGTAGAGTTCACAGGGGTGTGTAGATATAAAAGATAATGTAAAGCGATTAAAGTCCACGCGTCCGGCGCATGTACACAAGACATATAGATAACCATGGATTTCATCACTACGTGTCGTGACGTCAGAACTAACTGATTATCATGTTTGACCTTTTATTGCTGGCCATCCGAATATGAAGAGAAACAATGTTGTTTATTCATATGTTGTCAAACACTTCAAAAATAGATAATGTTATTTTAAAATAAATTTAATTATGTACAAGATTCGCTTCTCTATATACAAATAAGAGATTGTTTGTTACGCTATCATTACCTACATCGATGCTGTGTCATGTGTTGGCAACTGATAAATTCGATTTAAAAGTGAAAAAAAAAAATGTATTACCAACTGAATCAATACACATATATACATATAATATTTATACATATTGTATATGTAGTTTATTATTTAGTAGCCGTTATTTGTAAAACTACAGTAAGGAATCATAGTACAATCCATTCTGGGTTCAAATTTAGAATCTTTTATAATTCACAGTCAGAGATACCAAGATATATGTATACAGTCAACCCTCCTATAACGCGGTGAGTGCGTACCGCGTTGTATGGAAACCGCGCTATAAGAAACTCGGATTTAACCATACAAACCAGGCTAATTCGTAGCGCGTTCTATGGAAACCGTCTACCGCGTTGTATGGAAACCGCGCTATAAGAGACTCAGAATAAGTACAAATCACATCATTCGTACCGCGTTATATGGAGACCAATAAATACAAAAGACAAGATAAATTATAAATTATTTTTATTGAATTGAAGAGTATGAACTCTTCAATTCAATAAAAATAAGGAAATGATGAAAAAAATGAAACAAAAACTAAACTAAAAAACTGTTTTCCAACAAAAACAAAAGAAAGACTTTTGTAAAATGATGTAATCTTTCAACACTCATCCTCACTGTCAGATATGAGTCGCCTAACTCGCCTTCTTTTAATGGGCAAAATGTCTTCCTCACTTGGTTGATCTTCACATTGGTTTTAAGCGGCTAAGACATAAGCAGAACGTAGTTTTTCTATAGTTCACGCGACAATGTAGTCAAAAGATCACATATATATCTTTCATGTTACAGTTTCGTTAGACACACACACGCATGGCGCGCTGTCGATGCGAAACTATTTAGTTAATAGAGTGGAAGATAGCGCATGAGGAGCCCCACCCGTGAACCACGCTGATATAAACATATCCAGTTAAAACCATTCATTGAAACCGCGCTGTAAGAGTACCGCGTTATAGGAGGGCTGTCGCAATTTCAGCTCCGCGTTATATGGAAACCGCGTTCTGAGAGTACCGCGTTATAGGAGGGTTGACTGTAATACAGAATGGGTTGAGTTTACTGAAGATGATTTTCTATAACTACATCTGAGTTTGTATTTGTACGGGTTTCTTTTTGTTAATGCGGCACATGGTGTCAATGTACTAACGAAATTAAATAATATTAAAGTATAGATAAAAGTACGTGTGCGGTAGAGCGGTAGTTGTTACTTTTCTGTTAATATTAAAATCTTATGTTTGAAGAGTAAATTTCCTGTAACACTTAATTTACCTCTCAATCTACTGTATTATGTTTTTTAAAGGAAATGTCATACGTTTAATAATCTTGTAATTTCCGTATCACCAATCACATTGTAAAATAAACAAACACATTGAGATATTAATAATAATTCTATATTTTATTCGTTGTATTTGTGTTTCTATATATTAAAATTTTGGTTATTATGTGACTTCAACAAAAATTTATAATAGCTATTAATGTGCAGAACATAGAACTTAGCCCACTTTTAAGTGTTGCTATTTTTTGTTCACAGAAAATTCCTGAGGGGTCTATAATACTTCTACACGCATGCGCCCATAATCCAACCGGCGTGGACCCCAGGCCTAATGAGTGGCAGCAGTTATCCCAGGTAAATAGAAATATAATATATTTTTTAACACAAATGGTGACAATCAAGCATATGGCTCATTTAATTATTAATATTAGTTCAATAATGCAACTTGTATCCATTTTTGTCTGTAGGTAATCAAAGAAAAGAAACTGTTCCCGTTCTTCGATATGGCTTACCAGGGATTTGCGACTGGCAATGTAGACAATGACGCATTCGCTGTCCGTCTGTTCGTGAAGGAAGGCCATCAGGTCACACTTACCCAGAGTTTCGCCAAGAATATGGGTATGGATAATAATATCTACTGATCCACTTTATATATAGGTACATTATATGTATCTATATATATATATATATATATATATATATATATATGCATATTTTGTACTTAATATGTACCTATATGCAAGTAGCATTCCATGAATAAGTCTGACAATTGTACCTCAAACGAACAAACATAGCATTATCAATATGTGTATTTGATAACGAAATTTTGTTAATCGTTTGAATAACAAAATTTCTGTAAGGCTATAAATTATTTTAACGATGAGTTATAGCTTTCTAATTACGATTACCACTATCCGTCAGGCATGACATCCTTATATTTTTGAAAGTGTAAATGATTTTTATCCTTTGTGCAGAACAGTTCTAAGGTACATTCATATTAAATGTAATCAAAATCTGTTTAACTAAGTCTCAACGAGATACAACTATAAAATAACTTTTATTATTTTACTATGGATTTAATATTTGTACAATTATTCATATGACTTCTTTTGTACAGCAGATATCATAACTTGTTATGAAACAGTTTTATCATGATAAAATGTATAAGATAAGATTAAGTTTTATTTTTAATAATAACAGTATAATATCAATATTATTTATATATATTTAATAGTTTTATCAGAGACACACCTGCCCGTTGTTTATATAACTCTGTTGCTAGCATGTCTCATTCATAATAATCTTAATGTTAAATTTTATACACTGACTATTTTTCTTGTTATTGTAAAGAAACAGTAGATTATAGGTAGTAGATTACTCTTGAGTCTATGTAAGTCTAGGGATTAGTCCCATTTTCAATCCAATCCAATTTTGTATTTCGAAAACATTCCAATGTTCTTAAGCAATCATTCCCGATCTTCCGATGATCGGAAATGTCTCGCCTATATTTTTTCTGTTGCATCCTTTGAGATAAAATGAATATCTGACTGGTATAATTTTGTAAAAATGTACAAGCTCAGTTGAAAAGAATAAGCGCTGAATTTTTTGTCAGTTCGTCTTAGCTCGAAAGTACTCCGAACTGATGGTAGATTTGACATATCATAAGTCTGTAATAGACCTGAATGAATGAATGAATAGTTATTTTGATAAAATGAATGATGAAACTACTAGTCGATGGACATGAATTGGCACCAAAGACTTCATATAATATGTTGTGAGGTGTATGTGGTACCTTTCATGCATATTGAATTTCCTGTAGATTAAGACGTCATTTCATAGTTCATACCATAAGACGACTTGCATAACAAGCTATAAGAAATAGATAAAACATATTATAAACAATTTTGTACTCAGTTTTCCCTCTCTGAATTGGACCGGTAGTTCTATAGTGTTTAGTAATTTTGGCATTCATATTTTATGCAAATTTTTATTTAATTGGCCTTTTATACTGGTTTTAGGCCTTTACGGAGAGAGAGCAGGTGCCCTCACATTCCTGTGTGGTGATGAGGAATCGGCTGCAAAGGTGCTGTCCCAGGTCAAGATTATGGTCCGCACCATGTACTCCAACCCGCCTTTGTTCGGCTCCCGTATTGTACAAGAAATCCTAACCAATCCAGAGCTTGAAAAGCAGTGGTGTGTATAATTATATTAAGTATAAGTTCTAGAGCCATTCTCTAAAATGTCTAGTATTATAAGAAATATACTTCGATATTGTAGGAAAACTATCTCATAGATTGATTTTAAAATTTAATATATGACACATTTAATTATAGACTCCTCATCCAATATTATCTATATGACTGCCATATGTACATTACATAGCTCATGTTATTTATTGACAATGTAGTTTTCTATGTGTGAAAGAATGTTTATGTTAGCATATAGGTATGTATTTTTTTATTATATATTTGGAAATAAAAAAGAGATAACCGTTGTATTATCAAGTAATTAAAAATAGGCCAAGCATAATGATAGGTAAAATAGATTTATTAGAGATTTGCCATTTTTATAAATACTTATGGCGGTAAAAGTTTAATTACGTTTCTGTATTTTTTATGCCTACTATAATGCTGATATATTTTAACGTCTTTTTGAATTAGAGACGATGGTGTCAATTCAGACTGCGTTTGTATACAGGCTGGTGGACGTGAAGCAAATGGCCGACCGCATCATCTCGATGCGAACCCAGCTCCGCGCCGGTATCGAGGGCGCCGGCAACAAGCGGTCATGGCAACACGTGACCGACCAGATCGGCATGTTCTGCTTCACCGGACTCAAGCCCGAAGAGGTAAAGATATATTGATGTATTATTTATAATTAGATAAAATGTATATCTTAAGTATAGGTATACTTATCGTAACCGGCGTTTTATAGGTATTATTTAAAAATAACCAAATAGTTTGTTGAAAACTGGCCTTCGTCTAACTTCGACATGGACAAACCAATTACTAAGCTACGAATGTAAAATACACTAGTGTAAGAAGTGGTTCTTTTTTTTTTTTAATTATAGCGCCATCTGCGGTTATCTGCTTTAAATAAACAACTACATCATTTGATCGATTTGGTCAATAAATCGTAGATGGCGCTATACTTGAGAGAAATATATTGACCTTTAATCTTTTCATTTTCAACCGTTTTAAAAAACATTAAATCTACTATTTTGTGTTAATGTTACGAATTGCTAGTTTTATAGGGGTTTTTGCAGGTATTTGTTTGGAACTAAAACCTAAATTATCTTATGTATCTTTAATAATGTAGCAGAACGTTCGTTATTGTTGATGTTTCAAAGATTTAAGTAATCGTCATGAAAATTTACATATATTTATGGGTAAATGTTATAACGATTGTATTTGTGATAAGGGACATTTTTTTTTGCGGTCTGTGTTCCGGTCATGAAAGCTACGGATTAAGGCTAGTTCATACATAAACATATTTTGACAATTTCTGTTATCTTCCTCTTGCCGTTTATTTACAGTATACGGTATATCTAATGCAAATAACTAATATCTGTAATTTCCAGGTGGATAGGCTATCCAAGGAGTTCCATATTTACTTGACCAAAGACGGGCGCATCTCAGTCGCCGGTATATCTTCTAAGAACGTCAACTATGTCGCCGAGTCTATCCACAAAGTCACCTCATAAAACTTATCGATTGCACACTTAATTGTTATAAGAACATGTATTGCCACACTACACAACGCCAGTACAGAACACAGTATTTATTTGAAACTTTTTTATGTACATTTATAAAAATTTATATAATTATAATGTTATAAACATTATTCGTAGGTATCGTAAGGAAAATGTGATTATGATTATAAAAAACATGCTTTTAAGAAAATAAATATATACTGTTGATTTTTATGTTATATGTATTTTTTTTACTCGTCTTATTTAAGTAATTTTATTTATTATATTGTATGTGTACCATTAAGAAAAAAAGTATATTTTACGATTAAACTTTTATTGTTAAAATAAGTAGATAAAATAAACTTGATGCCAAAAACACAGAAATTCTATTAACATGTTTGCAGTGATTCTAATACTATTACTACGCAAAATATTTACAGCCGACAAACAAATGAAATCCTTATCTAAAAAAACTGATGCAGGTCAATCGTTAACATTGCATATAAAATTTAAACAATAATTTGTATACTTTATACAAGAGTAGAATAGAGTCCTTACAGGACATACTTATATATAATGGGAACACATTATTCACAATACGATTGCGAGCGCATTAACAATCTTAAACATATTCACCTGCATCCACATCAAAAATCGATGTAAACAGTAACATTACACTAAAATCAGTTTATTGTAGGACAATTACACACCTAAAATGCGCGTTTCATACAATTTTTATTATGATACAAAATATACTAAGTAGACAATTGTCAATGATATTTCAATAGTATAATAATATGTACAAATTTTCCATAGAGTAGACTACATGGCACTATTTCTTTAGAATGCAATATGTCATTCGTTTTAAAGCAAGAAATATGTACCATTAATATACATGTGGGATTTGGTATAATATAACAATAAATATATAATGCAAAATTACACATTTTGTAATACATCCTCTGTACTTGAATTGAACTAGACTGAACGATCGGCATATCGCCGTGTTCAATTTAAAAGTGCATACATAGCTAACATGTAGCCATGTAATGTATGTATTAAATGCTTTTGTAACAAGAAAATAGTAAGGCATCGACATTTGCTAATTAATGTACTACATATTATTAAGATTAACTAATTGCAGGATAGTTTATCTATTTGGGGGCTATGTTCTATATTACATAAATAAATTAATATAACAGATTTACATTGTGAACGTTGGCATTATCAAACTAGTGGGAATTGTCAGCGTGAAATGCAAAGAAATGGAATTGAATGCTATAACATAAACGGTATGCGACTATATAGCTATAACAGAGGAAAAGTTTGCTCTCCGTGAACAACAATAAAATCTCTCATCTTGGAGGCTATAATAATCAACAATATTATAACTAGTTACTTGTCTCTGTGGCTTGTCCACTGTTTAATAACATATTTGTAATGTATATTTAACTAGATATATACAAATAACTCATAAGAGTATATTAAAACAAGGTAACGTCACGTCACAGCATATTTAATGAAAAAAGTAAACTGTCAACTAGTTGGTTGAGTCTCAATGGAGCGTAATGTCTCGAATCAAAATTCATTTCAAGCTGCTTGGCAGTTTACAATGCAAACAGTATAGATTTGAACTGATTTAAAACATTTCTTCCTTCAAGTTTTATGTACATGGATAAAGAAATTTAACTGCTTTAAAACATTTCTTTATCAAAGTATTATGAACCTTGAGCTGATTTAAAACATTTCATTGAGGTTTTATGAACCTTGAGCTGATTTAGAACATTTCTTCATTGAGGTTTACGTACATTGATGAAGAAATTTAATTCAGTAAATTGTTTGTATCCTAGTCAGAACACTTAACCAATTAACTTAATTGTTTGTTTGTCACGACCTTTACTATAAAAAACTCAACCAATTTATTATTAAAAGTGTTAGATTTAACAATATAATAATTGTGACGTTTCGTACCATTTTGCACTCTTGAATTGCACAGTGATATCAGTTTCATATTGCGTGATCATTAAAACAACTAAACAAAATTGTACTCGGGTCCACAGTGTATGCTTCACAGGCAAAGACTTAGGCGTCCCATACACCTACAAACTGTGCAATATTTCATACTAATATTATAAATGCGAAAAGGCACTGGTCTCTCTGTTTGTTAGCTTTTCATACTAAACGGCAAGCCATATCGTAATGAAACTTGATTGTATCACTAAGATGATAGGCTATCTTTTATTATAGCTGGTATTGAAGAACCTCTTGTATCCAAACGTATGCAATAAAATTGACAAGGTATTCATGTCAATATTATGTTCTATAAAGAGTTGATTATGTTAAAAATAATAATAATAGTTCACACAGCACAATCTAGTCCCAAGCTAAGCAGAGCTTTTGTTATAGGTACTAGACAACCGATAGATATACTTACATTTATTCTTTTCATACATAATATACATAGATAACACTCAGCCCAATACAAACATTCATACTCGTGAATACAAATGTTTGTACCGTGCGAGGAATCGAACCTGGGGCCATCAGAAGCAAAGCGCTATGTTAAACGTCCACCAAGACCGTCCTAAAATATATATATATATATATTTTTTAATTTAAATACTATCACTACCCGTTAAATAATATTGCACATTCGTCTATATTGTAGGCCTATGAGGCGCCTAAGAACACGGCCCATGAATGAAGTTATTACCAATAACTATAACTGATGGTTTGACGCATGCAAATTCCGACCGTCTAGTATACTTTGAAGCGTGTCGCTTTTGATTACTTAATCAACCGCCAACTTAAAACACGCGTTTCAATACATATAGAGAAAATATAGGTACTCGAGTTAAATGTACGATTTTACTATTCCTTTTACTTTAAATGAATTATTGCTATATTAATATTGCAGGATAAAAACGGTTACGGTATAAATATTCCTGAATCCCACAATTGTAGCAAACTGCCTATAGACAGACAGATATGTTAATTGAAAGGCTCGAAAACGTAGACATTTTGCTTATAAGTAAATTTAGAATACTAACAGGTTTGTACATTCGTTACAATATCTTATATACACATTTTCTATCTGTATATATATATTTATCTTCTTCAAAATACAATAGATATAAATCTATAATATTTTGTTGTACTTTTGTATAATTAAGCGCTAAGTAATCTAATGAATATGACGAATAAATATACTTAGCTGGCATATAAATTCTACATTTATTCAAAGTAAATAATTACCGGGAAAAGTGACCATTTAAATTACAGCCATATTTTAAGTTCAAATCTACCAAATATCGAAAATTTCATCACAAATATTTACAATTTAAGTAAACTAAAATTATTTTAACAAACTATTGTTAAACTTGTGCATAGCAGCGAAAATATACATAATGAGTTCATTCATTACTTAAAACAATTATAACTAGGTTTGTTACCGGTGTGTTGACACACCCGGTCACATGTAGAGCGGAGCGCGTATATTATTAAAAACTCGACCTCGACCAATCGAATTATTTTTGAGTGATGGAAGCCCGAAGGTCGACCGTCGGTGAAATTTGGTCTCGATTGGTCAAGCCGTTTCGGAGAAGTATCATTACAAAGAGTGCAAATCTGATCTCTAAGATCGCTCCGAAGCTTCGCGCTCCGCTCAATTATTAAGAACAGCATTGACTACCTACAACAGCATTAATAAACATAGTTTTTAACCTGTAATAATTTCAGTCATGTTATGATTATTGTATTTAAAATGTACAATAATAACATTATAATTACAATAAATAAGAATAGTCAGTTAAGAGTATAATTAAAGTAAAACAAACCCGCATAAATAAATAAGTCCAGCATAATCATGATATAATAATAATTTATCATATTTGACACAAAAGAGACTATTTCAATTTAGTTTAAGATCTTATAATAAATATATAGAAAAAGTGTTTGATAATCGGCGAAGATGGTAATATACGTACTAAGAAATATTGTCGAACTGTATAACTTCTTGTCCCTTCTACATATAGTATGTAGGCATGGGTGTTATTTGAGCAGTCGGAGATTTTCTAATGTCGATGTATTAGCGTAATAGAGCACTCGGTGTGTACATGTTGTGTACCGAATGAGGATATATTTGAATACGACGTGGCAGAGGACAAGTCTATCGCCATATCTCAGATAAGTTTGAGGGTTTGTTATCAGTGTTTCCATATTCTGACAGTAACTCAGAAATGTAAATTGACATTTAAGGTTTTTTGTGTCCGTCAGACTTGAAGTCGATAACTTTTTATTCTAAGTTTGGGTAGTAAACTACTAGGCCATGACTCTGGTGTATGTACTCGGTTAATTATAAATATTATATGCTTAGTAGCTACTGTATAGTATTGATTGCCCATTGTACGGATGTCTAACACCACTCTAATTCTGTTGGGTTCTTTAAAGTAAATATAGATGTAGTAAATGTACACATCAATCTCGACTATTTGATTTATGTAACAAGTTTTATCCATTTGGCAGAAAATATTCAACCTGGCAACACTGTTTATGAGTGAGAGACAGGACTGTGCAAAATAAGTCGATGTAAATTGTAATTACTCTGTATTCTATTGTGACTGTATATTATTTATTCTGTATATTATAATAACTAGTTTTTTATAACAAAAAGAACGAAAATAGAAACACGATATATAACATTTCAGTTATTGCAACGTCTCGATTTCTTTGATATGACAAAACTATATGAGTATATCTTTCTCTTTTTCGCACAGTCATCGATAATATGCGCCTGAAATCTGTTTGATAATTATAACTTTAGTGTAAAGTTCTGATATTTTTAAATATAATAAAACTAGCTCTATTAACCGACATAAAGAAATGAAAATCAGTTGAAAATTTCTGTCTATCATACTATTACTTCTCACTTACTGGATAACAAAACAGAAATCTAACATAGGTATATTTATAATAATGTCGTTTTATATTAACTCTTCCACGCGTACATAACACGAACACGGACATCATTAACTTTAGATTTTACGTCAAATAATTCAATATACTTACACCTTTATCTAAATATATTTGTAAATTATTGCAATAAGAATTGAAGAGCTATATAACAATTTAATAAAATATATTCCTTTATAAATTCTTAAGTGATGTTATTTATAAATTACTAGATACTAATGAATTCTGACAATGTAAAATTTATAGATTTATTTACTATTATTTAGTTTACGTTTCTAGATTATATCTATAAATATAAGGTCAATCTATTTATATAAGTACTTCTCAGTCGGTATGGTTGCATTAGTCTCGACAATTGTAATGGAATTGGAAATTTGGAAGATGCATGTCGTTTGCATACGTAACTTAACAATACTAATATTATAAAAAGGTAAAGTTTGTGAGTTTGGATCTTCGGAGTAATCTCTGGTCTTACTGATACGATTTTGACAATTTATTTAGTATAGGATAGTCCATTAATCCAGAACTACAACCAATAGGAGTGGAGCGGTAATGAAAAATGTTGGAAAGACGGGGGAAAAATTTAACACTGACGAAGTTGCACGGGCCAACTAGTATGTAATATAATATATGTACTAGTTGGCCCGCAAACGAACGAACGAATCGATAGAAGCCTGGGAAATGTACTTCCCATCGATATTATTTTGTTCAGATAATATGCAGTAAAGTAAGAAGAGTTATTGCGCATAGTGAGACGTCATCATATCGCATTAGATTTTTTTATATTATCATATAATGTAGTGACATCAGACATCCCGCAATTGACGTTAGATATTAAAAAATGTATTATATTATCTAAACATTACAGACGCTTTGCTAAAATCAACAATTTATAACTGAATCAGTTACATTAATTATGTAATTGATCCTCTTGTAAATATTAGCAAAGTTTTTGCAGATGCAGTACCTAGGTACCGCATCTCAAGGCAGAACTATTGGAAAAGAAGATTACCTCAAGATTGGATATATTTATCTTAATCTATTTATCGTAATAAGTTTAAGTTTGAAAAATATTGATATATGCCTTTACATAACTGGACATTTTATACAGCGTTTATACTACTGATACAGAGACAACTATTTGTTCATGTGTACATACACACATTTCTAGTAGTACACATTAAATTTCTTAAGAGCCTCTACTTTACAAAAACTAAAGATATTGTAGAGTACAAACATATCTGTCTGTCTTCGCGCGATTATAAACAAAAAAATAAAATAATTGAGATTACCGTCGTTCTTCACTTTATACACTTCAGATTAGATTCATGTTGGATTAAGTGGTATTACATTTTAAAGAAACATTTTACCATTCTCATATTAAAACTACTTTATTGCTCATTTACTTAAAGGCAAACTTTCACTTACAGTTTGTGAATCTGTGGAGTTAGCGGAGTCTTCCCCAAGTAACCTACTAAGTTGATCATCAATGTTGTCATTGCGTCGCGACTCTCGCGCCTTTGACTCCTCACTAGCAAACACATCGTCACCCACCATCATACCTTCGTCTAGATACGAAAACGACTCTAAATTGATGTCAGACGAACTGATTGCCGTACTGTAGACGTCTATCCTTTTCTGCTGTGACTTTGCCTCAGCAACTTTTTCTGATAGCTTCTCTTTTGCTTTCGTCAAAGCATCCGATTCGGATTTATCTATTTTCGAGTCAATTTCTTTTATTTTCTCGATCGACTTTGACTTTAGCGCGAAAGACGAATCGTTACTGGAGGAGCCATCATCTTGTAGTTGACTCAATAAAGTCCGCGTGGCGAGAGATAATCCACTAGTACTACTATACATTTCACTGCTCTCACCTAAAAGAATGGAACCAGTTAGAAAATTAAGAAATTAAAGTCAAATTTGTCTTTAATCATGTTAATGTCTTACCACTAGGAGTTCCACGTTGCATGCTATCTTGTACTGAGTGCTTGCTTTTCTGCTTATGACTATCCACCATAAAATCATTTTCACTATCACTAGACATACCCAGATCTAAATGCAATGAATTTAATTTATCATCATCATCTTTCCCTTTCCTTGAAACAGTGTCTAATTCCATCTCCCAGTCAGTGACACTAGACGAGTCTTTACCACCTTCGGAGTCTTTAGTAAAACTTGCTTTAGCCTCTTCATCTTTTTCTATAAGAGGTAGACCACTTTCTTCGATCGGCACGATGCCACCTATACTTTCTGTTGTGGAATCTAAACTACTAGGATTGCAAGTGTCGTCATTTAATTGGGTGTCAAATAGTACTGGTGTATCTTGTGTTATTGGAGTTATAGTTTTATCGTCGGGAACCCGCGCTACATTAGATCCTCTGCTGTCTAGGATTTCTGACATAGTAGTCGCTCGACCTGTTTGTTCATTGTTAAGTTCCAAAACTATTACATTTCCTGCACATTTAGCTGCCTCTGCTTGTTCCGATTTCGATGCTTGTAACAACTGATTGACATTCTTTCCCATGATAATTTTTGACATATCGTTACCATTTTTTGTAAATGTTAAAGCTTTGCCGATAGCAGCACCTTTTTGTACTACTATTAAGCCTTTACTGCTAGTCGGTCGTACTATTGGGTTGGTGAGTTTAGGTGTAGTGATTGGAGTCATGCCTTTTACTGGTACTATGTCAGCCAAATTGGCGGTTTTTATGGGTTCCACACCAAGAATCTTTGTACTTGATGACATAGCACTGACAACTGTAGGTTTCGAAACAACAGTCATTGATGACGACTTTGTAACTTGGGTAATACTTTGAGAACTAACAGGAACTAATTTCATAGCAGTAGAGATATTTTTAAACTGCAATAATGGCATTTGACCGTCTGGTCCAGGTTTCGTTCGAGCTTTGGCTGGCAACACGAGCATTTTTTGACCTGACCTTGGATTTAATACAACAGTTTTTGCAGAGACTTTCAAATCAGTTGCAGGTATACCTTTCGGTGTTAGAGTCTCTGTAATTTTAGGTGACATATTGCTGCTTGGTGTACCATCTTTCGCTGGTGTGCTAACCCCGGATGTTAGTATTATTTTAGAACTAGTCATTTTTGTTTCAGGCGAAGACTTAGACACTACGATCATTTTATCAGTGAAAACTGACGGGGTTGACGGAGTTGAAGTGCGACTTTTGGGTATCGAGCCGATAACTTTGGTAGTAACTAGTTTACCTGCTGTAGACAAAGCTTTCTGTGCAGAACTTGGCGCTACAACCAATTGCCTATTTGATAGCAACTTCATTCCTTCTGCTGGTTTTTGCAGTATCTTTAGCTCTGACATTTGTACTTTTTTATCAGCAGTTACTTCTCCACGTTTCTTTATTATAAGGTGGCAGGGTTTGTTAGTCATTGTTTTAACGGGTGGTGTACCTTGCGCCTGGAGTGTGCTGGGATCGTCGGGGTGAGCATTCTCCGGCACGGCCAGCTCATGAGGCACGGTCGCCGGCTGCGTTAGAAGTTGCATGGTGGGCGAGTCAGTTACCATGCCTGGTGATGACAAAACTTTCGGTTTTATTTCGTTCAAGTAGTCAGGTTTGTTTTTGTTACCTAAAATGGATTGCGCGTAACTGGCCTGGAATGTGTTTGGTGGACCAGAATATTCAACTTGTAGTGATGTGGGATTGTACTGTTTACTGGGTGACATTGGTAGCTCTTGTTTTTTCGTTTGTGCTTTGTGTGAAGCATTTTTGGAAGATTTGTTGTGTGATCTATTTTTAATTTGTGGACCCCGTGGTGTGTGGACCTGGCTAGTTTTACTTGTGGATACTTTGCTTACTTGATTATATGAATGTTTTGACTGGCCTGATGGTTTACCTGTATGAGCAAAGACATGTTTAATAAAAAGTAAGATAATATATGTTAAGCAAAGTAACATACATTGACAGAATCAACATACTATGTCTTTTTATAGATTGTAGGAAAATAAAATGTACTGCAGCATCATGCAGTACGGTAACTTCAAGTGCAGCTACTATATGTATGACCTAATGGTATAATATATCAATTGATAAAGGCAGAAATTATGATCATAAAGTATTTATGTAAGGATAATTTATTTTTCTTTATATAAACTTCTCTTGACTTTTACGCATTTTTAATAGGTATTTATCATTGAATGACAAAATATTCTATTATTCCTTTTTATTATTAGAAATAAAAATTAAGCTTACTTGTTGGAGGTTGGGAGAATTTAGAATATATTTGTGATAAATTCAAATGTTTCTGATTGGTATTTGCCGGTATATTTCTCATGTTTTTAACTGGTGTGGTGCCATCATCTGGAATTGCACTACCTTCAGCATTTTTTCTTTTACGACTGGAAAGTTCTGTTTCCCATATCTGTAAAAAATATTATAGGTTTACAGAAAAAATATACATCATTTAATGAGGTTTGTAATAACAAGTATAAAGTTTAGAACATTTATTTGTATTTGAGATATTAATATTGAGAAGGTGCTCTGTACAATTATACAGCATGATTTCCCAGGTTCTTCTTGATTATATTATTTCATAATCTATATTACAACAAATATTAACATATCTTTCTTGGTCTTATGCATCATGACATATGAAAAAAAAATTTAAGTATATTTACCAGTTATTAGACTTTGGGACTCACCTATGTGTGATATATGTCTGATGCTATTTAATATTTCTTATTATTTTATTAAATAAAACAATTTCCATAATTAATTATTTATACAAAAAATATATATACTAACTTTGGTAGTTTGGTCCTCCATTGCAATAGGGGGGAATATAATTTCATCCATATTGTCATTTGACTGGAGAGCACTCTCAGCAGTTTCACCTTCTGCATCTTGTAACTCATCCTCATTGGACTTTGGGGCTATAAGTTTCTCAGCTTCCAGATTTTTCTGAAGTTCTTTGTTTTTGGCTATATTGATTTCTGCAGCTTTGTCTGCTATTTCTGTGTACATTGTTTGCGGGATTCCGCGTGGTAGCAGCGGCACCCGCCGGCGGCCTTCGCATATCCATGCTAAACCTGTATTGGGACCTGCCAATCTAAGCATAACATATAATTTGATTTATTATTCTGCATTTTATCTATATTGAAGAAAAAAATGTAGCAAATTACATACTAATGGAGGCAAATTTATATTATATATATAATATAAATTTGCCTCCATTATATAGTAATATTTAGGCTGAAAAAAAATATATAAGTATTTGTAATAAATTAGTCATTAAAAGTAATGTCATAAATAGTAATCAGTATCCATACTTTAGATAAAATGAAGTTATAAATACATATGTTTGTGAAGCAAGTGTGTCAATTTCACAAAAGCAGTTAGAAGATAGAAAACTTTTTAAAACTATATATTATCAATTTAATAATTTATATCTGAAATTTTAAATCTGCAGACAAAAATGTCACTATAACATAACAACATAACTGAAAATTCTAGAATAACATAATTCAACATAACTGAAAATTCAATTTAAAATCTGCTCACAATGTTTTTTTTTTCAGTAAAATCATTATCTATAACTATGCCACATTAGAAGTATTCTGAAATATAGCACTGTGACAAAGCATCTATTTATTAGCAAAATTATAATCTCAACAATTATTAATTATAATATTGATAATTACATTGTATAAATGTCAGCAAATATAGGTCAATCAAAAGCATTAAATAGTAGGATTTTTTTTACTTTAGTCTTAAAAGTTTTATATGTACTTATTTAAAATTAAAAATAGTACAATTAAAAAACTGCCCTTATATATCATATGAAACAACATACCTATGAAATAACCACTATTAAATATATTAAAAAAAGTTTTCATTACCAAAAGCTAATAGGTTATCTGTCAAATGCAAACAAGGCACAAAAGCTCAAATTTCAATTAAATTTTAAAATCAAGCAATTAATAAAAAAAAATAATGTTTCTTTCATAACCATCATCTTTATCTACAGGGCTAAGACATCAATAACAATAATAACATTAATAAACAAGTTTTTAAATTGCACATATAGTAAATTTATTAATTAAGGTAATATTAAAACTAATATAATGCCATGTTAAATATTGCAATGGCTGTGATTTGTGATTCTCAGCCATCTTTGACTCTGTACTTTAATGTATAAAAATAAATCAACAACCCTAAAAAGAAAATTAAAATATATTCTTACTGGTCTGCTATTGTAGCTAATAATTCATCATTGGATACGCGGCGCGCCTCGGCACTATGCCGATCATGGCTTATGTGTAAAACAGCGCGCAATTCCTCAAGCAACTTTTTTCTTTTCTCTTCCAATGGCCCTTGTGCTCTAAGCACACTGATCATATTCGAGTAGGCTTCCAATTCTATAAACAAACATGTAAGCCATGAATTAGTATTGGTCTTGTAAAGATAAATAGCAATGTAATCGTTTTAATAATAAGAGCATAATATGAAGAAAATCATAGGAGGGAAATGAATGCCATCAAGATCACTAAATATATACCGAGTCTACGAAGCGTACGGCGACATTCGTCGCGCGTCATGTTTAGAAGCATGGGCCACATTTTAACGGCGTTTATTATAAACACTGATAAAACACTCTTTAATTATAATAATTTAACCATATTTTATAAATTATCCAATTGGCAAATATCCATACTGTTTACTTCAAACGACAATTTCGTTCACTTTTTGACACTTCGAAAAATAAGACGGCTTGTATCTTGTTTATGGTTTCTGGGATACCATTCAAAATTATAAACTACGTTTAAGGAAGAAATAAATCTAAAACAATAATAGGCCTATACGACTACGCCCAGATTAAAAAAAAAATCCTCATTGTTTTAAAAGTTTTTAGATAGAATTCATGTTATATATAGTAAAATATGTATTCTATCTAAAAAGTTTTTTTCAAATAGATAACAACCTTGTAATGTATGTACATTACAAATAAGTCAATTTAGCTAAAGTTAATATGCAAATTACATGAATTTCAACATCATTGCCCTGCCTTCATAGGCAAAAAAAAAGGGTTTTTGGGGCAAATATGTTATTCTCTTCCACCGATTCCTAATAAATATTTATTATATATTTGTAATAATGAAAAGATTGTCAGTGTAATCTATATAAGTTAAGAAAAACAAAATATTGATACAGCTAAATACTAATTATTACATTCTAAATATATTATTTTCAATAACTCGTATAGAGGGTTGATTTCTCATGATTCTAAATTTAATGTGATCTTTATATGACACACATTGTTTTTAATTTTACTTGCTTTTGAGACTACTACTTACGACTAGTATTACTTATTAAGAACTTATTGATTATGTTTCTGTAGTTAAGAGAACTTTTACTTTTCTCTCTATTTTAGGTGCATTGAACATATTCGCTTATATAACAATTAATAATATTATTGCTTTTACTTTATTGACCAATAAATACCAAGGAATTCTAAAATACCTAAGTTCATCACATACGAAATAAATACAACATTACGGTAAATTATATAAGTTTGCAACATTACTTATAATTGAACCATAGACTGAAAACATGTTTGACACAAAGCGTGTTTGTGAAGTTACTTTTGAAGATGTAATAATCGTATACAAAATATTTAATAATAAATTTGAAAATTAGTACAAAATAATACATCTATTTTAAAAATATTTTTCCCTTGATTACAAGTGTTGCTTTGAATCAATAAATATAGTTCTATAGGGTATGGTTCTACATTTCACAAGTAACGTATTTGAAGTGAGTGATTTAGTCTCGCTACCAAATATAATTTCAACGGTACCGGCCACCGATTCTGATCAGTTTTTTTTGCACTGTATATTTTTATTTTGTAAAATCTACTTCATATTAATTCGAAATAATAGCTTGTCTCGTAAATATTTCAAATATAAATGGGTCATTACATTATTAAATTATAGGGTCCCCTGCGGATCCCAATTACATGAAAGTCATTATAAAATTTAATGTTACTAAAAACTTAATTTTCATTGCATCATATTTACTCTGCTAGTGTAGGTATATATATTTTATGTATGTTAATTATTTGATTTAATCAATTTAAGAAGGTCCTATATCTTGCAGCATAATAAATGTCACTGTCAGTGTGGTTACAGTTCTGTAAATAATCTGTGTCTGTGGAACTCTGTGGACTTCCGTTTGTTTTGTAGTACGAACCAAATAACGTATTTTAATTTTTGAATTTTTTATTCATTGTGAATAAATAAATTTGTTTTTTGAATTGAATATTTTAGATTTTGCGGTTTAATGATGACAGACGTAGATGAGATAATTGATTACATAAAATCTCTTCGAAAGGGTTTTGACAAGGACTTGTTTCAAAGTAAAATCGAGGATTTGGCGTACATTGTTGATACAACTGGCTTGGATTACGACGATTTCCATGCTTTGTTTAAAATTTGGTTAAACTTGAGTATACGTGAGTAATTAACATATATTTATACTAACAAAAATATGGGTATTGGATATAGGAATATAATGCTAACTATATGTGTACTGTTATTGAATTTCAGCTATATCGAAATGGATTAGCTTAGGCGTAAGTTTAGTACCTCCAGACAGAGTCGAGGACCGAACTGTTGAATATTCCTTTCGTTGGCTTCTTGCTAATTATGAAAACCACACAAGTTTCTCCAGGATGGGATTTTTACTTGACTGGTTAACAGGTAATTTTAAAACTATTATTTCTTCCAGTAATATACAGGACTTAGCACCAAAGTGTACTACTATAGAATTTAATCAAAATGCGTGTTAATTATTAAACAAAAGTTTATCTGTATGCTTGCTGTTTATGCTATTGGTGTTTATAGTACTGATAGGTACTCTTAAAACTTAACTTGAAATAAAATATAAAACTTGTTTATATTTCAGTTGCAATGGACTGCAATTATATTGATATGACTGCTTTGGATTCAGGATATGAATTATTTTATACTCTGTGTACATTTGAAGTACTGGTGAGTGTATAATTTATTCTATACAGCTATTATATTAGAGTAACAAATCATGAATGTATCTGTGCAAAAGAAGGGAAAGTTGTAATGAAACTTTATTGTATAATTTTATATTAAGTCTTTATACTAACTTGTTGGTCACTGCTACCGTAACGAGGATTGTAATGTGAATCATCAGGCATGGTAATACCACAGATAATATAATATTACATACAGATACCCCATCCCATACAAGAAAATGGTTCCTTCCTAACTCGGGCTATTCTTCGGGCTATTTTATTTCGCCGCCGTAGGCGCTAGATGTCGCTATATCTGAAGCAGTTCTGATTACTAGTGGGTGATTAGTAATAAAGCATGAAAATAGATGGCAGAGAATTGTCTACATGACATCTGTTTTATATTAATAGATATATAACTGTATCGAACTCCTGATTGGGTACAATCGAAAATTCAATGTAGGTATAATATTGTTCGCTGACAGTCTCCAGACACGGCTAATGTACCTATGTATCTATGTACTATGTTACAGTTACTTTTTTACATGCCTACTTTTTTTCTCCCGACGAAGATAATAATATGTCGTAATGCGTCTGCACTAAAATCGGGCTATCGGTGAAGGAGCAATAGCTCCTTAACGAATAGCCCGATTTTAATACGGTTTTTTTTATTTAAATTGTTATGTGATAGTGATAGATTTTAGCTGTAATCAATTGATGTGCATATGGGTACCTCATATAATTTTCAGTGTATAATTATTTCTCAATATATAGTTAATTATGGTAAACTGGCAATTTATAAAACTGAAAATAATATCTGCAAACCATCAATCTGTTATATGTATAGGTTCTTTCAGGGATACTACATCGGTGCTAATGACATGTAGGTACTTATTTTGATGTTATACCTATTTGTAGAACCTTCGGTATATACAAACTACGCCTTTACTGCTAGTTTTTTGGTATTTATGTAAGTTGTTATTCAGTTGAAATTAAGCTGCGAAATTACAGGATATTTGGACATAACATCTATGTTCTCCGGAATGATAACGTATGCGGGATATAGCGGGCACGACATGATGACGTAATGCTGCTTAATAATATATGTGTATGTATGTACGTCGGATAGCGTCGTGGTTGGATGGATCGTCAGCTTATTTACCATTTCAGTTAATAATAGTAGGTAGTAACTTTTGACAATATGGATGAGGGAGGGTAACGGTGATGATGATGAGATCAATAATGACTGTTGACGATAGTGACGGTGGTATTTATATATATTCATCATTGGCAGTATTCTCAACATTATCATCATTGTTCATCATGATGATTGAGATCAAATTAATTAATTGATTAAAAAAGTAGCAAGTATTAGGTAGGTACTAAGTCCTTATATGACTTAAATACAAGGTTCTGGGATGCTGTGATATACTACAGTCTCTAGATTTAGTTTCTTATTAGTATTCCACGACCAAAGTCTATAGACAGAGAAATATAGATTTACACAAAGTTTTTTGATGTAAATGGGAATTATTATACACATTGCTTTAAAAAATATATATGATTACCATCTAATACAAAATCATTATGTAGTAAATAATTCCTGACATTTTAAATCGAATGAGGTGAAACTAACATTGCATGAACACAACACTTGAAGATCATAAAATTTTTATTTCAGGTAACAAAACACTTTTAAATAATTTATTAATCACAGAATAAACAATTGTTAATAATTTACAATAATATTTCTTTCACTGCTTGTCTGTTATACCACTAAAACTTCAAACACTTCTGTTATTTTTATATTATATTCCAATCATTTCATAATTAATTCCTGGTACACAAAATATTCCTGGATTTGTTGATGAAGCAATATAATAATAATCATGTGTTTAAATCATAAACTTATTTGCAGTCGGTTACACATAATATAATTACTTGGAATTTCTTCTCATCACTAGTCCATTGCTTTCTTACTTATTTAATTATATTATTAATTGCATTGTGATTAATAATTTACAGATTTTTCTTCTGCTTTTTTCTTATTTTTACTTGCATTATTATTTTATACAGTAAAATGTTCATATATATATACATATATATTTCTTATTCTTTTGAACTCCTGTTCTTCACAGTAAAAATGTTATTTATCTTCATCTGAATGACTAGGAGATTTAAAATATCATCTCTTATTTGTTTAAACTTTGTTCAGTATTAAGTTGTTGATGTCAGGAAAATCTGAAAACAATATCATATACCTATGTTACATTTTCATGAACTTACATGAATGAATTTACATGAAAGTAACTAAACTGTAACCTTATTAGCACAATAAACATATTATTCATACATCATATTCATTCAGTTCTAATAAAATATAAAAATAATACTACTGTTTAGTACTTTATTTTGATTAATAATTTTCAGTATTTTCTCAATCAATCAAAAATTATAAAATCAGTGTTAGTTTTTTGAAGTTACATTCATAACAATAATAAAAACATAATAATACCACATTAAAGCGGTCACCAAGTACCTATGTTTATTATATTTTAATATGAAAGATACACACATACATATGCAAGTTTTTAACAACTTATAGTTATACCTGGTATAAGATAATCCTCAAAGACACGATAGTTTACTAAATATTTGTAGTATTTCTTAGACACATTTAAATTATTGAGTTTGACAAAAAAATAAGAAGTTCAATGAACTCTGAACAGGAACAATTCAAAAGTTGAATTGAAGTACCTACTTAACTTAAATGATGAAAAAAGAGAAAAAATCCAATGCTAGTGAAAATATGTTGTAAGCATTTGACTTAAAGTCGTTTATCCTATTCCTTTATTCCTATATTTTATATTTTTAACCTTTCATTTATGTTGCCAGTACTCGTTGTCATTTCGATATAATAAAAAAATATGGACCAACCTACGATTTTAAATCGATATTTTTATTTGTGATGAAATCTAATAATATAAATTACGAATAACCTACCCTCGAATGGAGATATTAAAAAACTAATTATCATGAATAGTAGGTATTAGGATAAGTAATATATCATAGTATTATGAATGATTATCGTTTCAAAACCTTGTACAATTTAGTAAGGTTGAAAATATCCTTCTACAAAAGCTAAATTCGAGTATTTGTAAAGTTTCTTATGAGTATTTGTAAAAATTCGAGGATCCTCATATTTAGCTATCAATGTCAGTAATTTAGATACCATATAACACTTGTTTATTGAGGTTTCATAAAGGTATAGCTGACCTTATATACTCTATACCACATTCAATTCTCATTCATTAAATTACAATAAGTAGGTATTTATTTTTTTAATAGAAAAACAATGTCACTAATGTCATTAATTGCTATAATTACCAGGGTGACCGCGTGGAGGTTGATATAATAGAGTACACTTGTATCAGATCAATCTAATTAATATTTCCCTCTTCAAGTTTTGAAGTTATGAGCGAACAGATAAATATATAGTACTTGCATACCTGTCAAAATCTCTCTATTTTGCCGTCGTCGAGTAAAAATTATGCATTGCAATTCGTTCCAAATAAGAGTATAATACAAAATGATGAAATTTTACTGTTTGCAAAGACTAATTAAAAGCACCATCGAATAATGCGTTGTAATATCCTGTTATCGATTATTCGAAAAAATCGGTAATCTATGCATTTATTTTTGATATGGCAACACTTTCTATTATATTATATAAGTATTACTGGCATAATATGGTTTTCTTGTTTAGCTGTTTTATATTTACTTAAACTTTTTTTATGTTTAATTTATCATAATAATATAGTAAGTACTTATTATTTGAAAATATAAAATAAACATTTAAAATACGGTGATACAAATGAAAACAGCGCCATCTATGAAAGTCTTTTGGAAACAATAAGCCCCAATTAGCAATGATTAAATTGTAAACAAATACAGGGCAACAACAAAATGAGTAAATATATGAAAATTACTTTTCAAAACGCATTATTTCATTTTAACATCTATATATGACTTTTTAAAAATATATTAAACCTTTTTAAAAACATAGTTTTGGGTTTTAAACGATTACAAAACAATGTTGAATTCCATTCGATACCAATGACGCCATCTAAATCCGTTTTTCGAACTAAAAATGGCTACTATGCCATTGTTCCCCACTGGTAATACCATTAGGGTTACTGTCGTAGTTTACATCTAATAATTATTTACTTATTACTTCCCATCAGGTGGCCCATTATCATGATTAACAACTATTTACTGATATAATGTAAGAAATACAGACTATAAACTATTCTTTATGGTATCTTTAACATAAATAAAATTAGTTTTCAATTGAACTTCTTTACTTTGTAGTAAAAATATATATATATTCTTCATGTCCTTTTTTTTTCTACTATTAATTATTTCAGACTGCACATGTTATAAAACTGATATATACATTGACAAAACCAGTTGATGTAACAAGAAGAAGAGTTCTTGAAATAATTGACTATGGCAAAAAACAGGCTAAAAAGGTTTGATCCATACTTTGAATTACTAATTTTAATAATATCTACTCAAATGAATATTCTCTCTTTTGACATAACATCTTTTATACCTTAAGAATATACTTAAATTCTTATATAAGATTTTGTAAATTCTTTTATGACTATGTAAGAACCTACTAAAACTATAAATCATTGTGTTATAAACACAATGATTTATAGTTTTATATTGTTGTATTTTGTTTTATATAAAGTATATGCATGTTGAATAACAAGTATGCTATATCACATGTTTTTTTTTTCTTTTTAATGGCTGGTCACTTTGGTGCTTTTGCCAAATACAATTTGGGAAATGGAAGGTGTTAATGAAAAATATATGTTTTTTACAGAATGTATACAGACAATTGCAAGTTTTATTGGGTTTATTTAAGTCCTATAGACCCGAATGTGTCCCAGAGGATGTACCAGCTATGTCCATACATACAGCTTTCAGAAAAATAAATGTAACTCTTCATACAAGATTCAAGAGATGTCAGGTGTATATTTATTTATTGTATTATTATATTATATTATATATCTTGTTGTATTATTAAATTATTTGGACTTTATTTATTTATTTAAGTACTTGGTTTTTCAGGAGCGCAGAAATCATTTGAGTGAAGAGAGATACCATTTATTGTGGACAAATCCATTAAGTTTGGTAAATATAATTTTAAATAAATTACAGCAAAGTACCTAATTAAGATTTTTTTTATAACATAGGTGACAAACAATCTTACAGTTAAGCGGCCCACATGATAGTAAGTGATTACCACCACCCATGATCACTTTCAATACGAGGGGAAGTAAGGGGAATAAGAGTTTTGCTTGAAGGTTGCAATATCGTGTCAAATTAGTAAATCAAATTTCATTGTAATGAAAATTTTTGCTTCCAGGAACGTGCTAGAAATAAGAAGGCCGAACCGTTAGTGCCAAATATGGAGTTTCTAAATGTTAGCTCGAAACAATATTCAGACAAAGAACAAATTAAAAATTATCTTGACTTTACAGAGTAAGTATCAATATTGTAAATCTTAAATGCCATTGAAATCATTTACGGGATCAAATAGCCTTAAACTAGACATTGTCAACTAAATTCATAAATTGTAAGGCACTAATGGAAATTAGGCAGGTAGCAGGGAAAGTTTGGACTCAGAGTGCAAGGGACCGAATGCTATGGAAATACTTGGAGGAGGCCTATGTCACATCATGACATACTGTTGATATTCAGATGTGGAGAATTTTTTTTTTAATAAATATAGACTAATATGACCACAGTTACTGCCTAAACTCTTGTATAAATTTGTAAAGTTAACAGTAAATAAAGGCTTTTATTATTATTATTAATGGGAAGTGATACAATTAAAAGTGAACTTAGTGCACTTATGCTATGGCCTAATGAATTAATCACGATAATTCTGTGTAGTGTAGGTTCGCATGACAGGTTGCTTTATTAGAAATGGAACCACCAATTTCCATTACTGGGTATGGGTAAATTAAGGGGTAAAGTATTTATTAAATATTTAATGCACAAACAGCAATAATGGTGTATATAAATACAAATAAATATATAAATAAGGTGGACTTACCACTGAGGCATTTTCACCTGACGATAGCTCAAAACGCTCACTAATTATCAGCTCTGGAACTCACTCTCTGAACGCATTCAAACTATCTGCAATAAATATATTAAAAAAAAATGTTCATCGCAATTTTTTTAGTTTACTATCGTTTACTAAAAGTATGTGTATATATATTACGTATTGTGGGTACATGTTATATTATTAATGTGTATTCTATTTTAGATCAGTCTAATATTTGTATAAACTTAATTGATACAATCAATCTAAAGCCACCGTCGAGTACTTCTGCACTTCCGAAGGTCGACTGGTAGCGAAGGCGTAGCGATAAGTCCGCCTATCGTATGGTCAATAAAGTGTTAAATAAGTATGATAATGAAACCACCCCAGGGCGGGTGCAGTGGTGCGGCACCGGGTGGCGCGGCGCGGGCGGCGGCCGGCGCGGCTGCGGGCGCTGCTGCGGCGCGCGGCGGCGGGCGCGGCGCTGCTGGCGCTCGAGCCGCTCCACCACCGCGCCTTCTTCGCCCACGACCTGCACCACGTGCTCTCCGCCTGTGAGTTACGTTCAGATGACATTTATTTAGAAATGAAAACGGTAACCGCTTACGTAATAATTATATATAGAATATACTTTATTATTATTACACGATGTTTACTCAGTTCTTACTTATGTTACGATTAATAATAACTAGTAACTGAGTACAAATTGTGGTACTCATATAAAGAATTTTATCGATCATTGAAGAATGTATATAATAACGATAATAGGCCTCATCGCTGAGAGCGATCTTTTCTAGGCGACGAGACAGATTTAAATATAGAACATGTAGGTGATATGCAAAAAGGTGTGTAATGCAAAAATTATAAGTATAATATTTCAATTAAAATTTATGTAAATAATAATAATTACATATGAAACTAAATACACTTACATAAACTACATATATATTATAAACTAAATTATTATGGTAAGATATAGACAATGGCAATGGGCAGGGCACATAGCTCGTAGGACAGATGGCCGTTGGGGCAGTAAAGTCCTCGAGTGGCGACCACGGACCGGAAGACGCAGCGTGGGAAGGCCTCCAGCTACGTGGACCGACGATCTGGTCAAGATCCCTGGAAGGCATTGGATGCGAGCAGCGCAGGACCGATCGTCGTGGAGATCATTGGGGGAGGCCTATGTCCAGCAGTGGACGTCTTCTGGGCTGCGATGATGATGATGATGATAGACAATTTGCACATATCACATCTACATATATCTTAACATAAATCTGTGTGTTTAGATCCTTTTCATGTTCATATTTAGAATGAAATACTTTAAGGCCTTTATTAACTTTTAACAAATAAAAATCAAGTAAGTCAGTAAATGTTAGTACATGGTTCATAACACCATCTAAACACATATTGAAATAATTTCAAAAGGACACTAGTTTTATATTTTAGCAGTCACAAATGTCCTTTATCAATCAACAATATCAACAATCACCTACTTTATTATAAAGTTGGTTATGTTGGCATCCAATAAGTTGATTCATAAATAATGCCATATACTGCGCTTTAAATCTTGTTAAAAGTGGTTGCTTTTATCTTTACAGGTTTCTTAGATGGCTCTCCTCATAGTTATGCAGAGAAGCAGGATCTCCTTCACAGGATAGCAGTTCTACAACATACAATGCTGCAGGGCATACCTGTTATCACCAGGTTTCTTGCGCAGTTCTTGCCTTTGTGGAATGAAAAGGATTACTTTCCAGAGGTTAGTTACTTTTAGTAGTAGTAGATAGTTACTTAGATATTAATTTGTGTGAGTACCTTATTCTCACCTATTTCAGTTACCAATCAGCTTGCTTTGTAACCTGTAGTATATAAAGGGTAAGGCAGCAAAATTACAGGCACGACGTCTTTTATATTATATTTTATTCCACTTCGTCCACTTGGAAAATAACATTTATTAATGTCATATATAAAATTTCTAAATATTACTCCTTATAAATTAGTTGAAATTAGGTGAAAGTCCTGTCAAAATCAGTGCAGCAGGTTAAAAGATTAGCAAGAACAAAGGGACAGATAGACAAAAAGTTTTTAAATATAATTTGCTAATGTACTTCATATCCATTTAGAGAAGAAATTTTAATTTAAAATATCAAACAAATACTGGAATTTTATATATTTGTATAGATATATTATTATACATCTGGAATGACACTGCATGAGTGATTGGTGTCAGTGGTGCTGTTTATGTACATATATAGGAAACGGTTACCACTTACTGTAAGTTTATTTGCCATTAAAATCATTAAAAATATATATATATAAATTAAGTGTGAAATAATATAATATAATCTTCCATGTTTTAAACATTATAGTTTTAATTTCTTTCAGATCATGGAGCTTGTAGAATGGGTCAGTGTAGACAGCCCAGCTCAGGTGTTGTCAATTGTGAATATCTTCACTAAGATATATTTGCGTGCGGACCCAATGGAGCAGTGTGCAGTACTGAACACCCTTTCTAATATGTATGTCAATATGGTAAGTCTCAACGTGAAATGCAGGTTTAATAAAAAGTTAGTTTTTATTATTTATACATTTTTCAGTTATTCAATACAATGTGAAAGGATTTTTCAATAAGTTTATATGAAGTAAATTTAATAAACCTCTTGTACATACAAATTATTAAAATGATTTCAAGTATTGTAAATCGTAATTTAAGGATATTTTATTTTTTAAACATAATATTTTTTTCATTTCTTATTACAGGTTTATGCAAGCACGAAAAGTCGTTACCATTTTATGAGTTTGGAGTCGTTTGAAGAAAATTATTCAACAGTACTACCTCATGTTGCTGAAAGCATCAGTGATATGTGTAACAAAGCACTACAAATAAATCCTGGTATGTGTTCTTTTTCAATGACCATATAGGTTTATAATAATGAAACCATATAGGTTTATAATAATGAAAATAAAACCATAAAAATATGGAGAATGATCAATACATCAGTGGTATTGTTGTACTGGTGAATTATTTGTCTTCTTACATTGTTATTGATTAAGGATTAATGACGCTCTAGTCATGATTATGAAAGAAACTTACTATCACATTTGAAGAGAACATGTTTCCCTGTCCTCCCTGTCCCTGTCTCAAAAATAATTGTCATATTGATAATGTTCAAGACTGCAAGAATGCAAGGTGATAAATATTGTATCACCTTGCATTTCGCAGCACTCAATGGTTCTTAGTAACGTAACTATATGTCGTTTGCAGAAGATATATGTGCAGCATACAGCGGCGCTCAGGCCTTCGAGCGGGCTGCCCGCGCACACGTTCGCCGCGCCGCCGCCGCTCGGCGCCCGCTGTCGCGCCGCAACGGAGCCGCCGAACCCCCGCCCGCCTGCCGCTCGGCCGTCGCTCCGCCGCCGCGCCGCTTGTCGCTGGCGCTAGCATTGCTGAGTCCGTCGGCCGCGTTGCTCGACAAGTTTGCCGGGCTCATAGTCCTGTAAGTAGTGATGTCTCTTATATTGCGGTTTGTTGTAGGTGAGGTATAATGATAATAATGAAAGAAGGATAGAAACGCGTTTCAATTAAGAGCACGAGTAGACGTATGTGACAGAGGTCAGACAGGTAGAAGAGAACTCAATATCCATGTATTATTATTATACATATAAGTTTTCTTGTCTTCCAGATTATTTGAAATGATAGTGAAAACATATTAAAATCCATTGGTATAGAAGACGCTGATATACATCAATCAAAATTATTTTCAATTTTCACATTCCAGGTACAAGCAAATCTTCAAAGCCATGAAAGCTACAATTAATATGCGGAAAGATGACATTTACTTAAACCAAATGCAGACATTGGGTGGTTATACCTTTGACTTGATTCACTGCCTGTACAGCGAGGAAGCCCTCAGTAGCCGTGACTCGGGAATTGTGTTCAACGACTTGAATCCACAGATAGTTGAAAAACTTGAGTCTCTTATGTCTGATGTTAACTCAATGTTGAGTCTGAGAAATCATATAGCTCTGGCGCCATACACGTATATACAGCTGGAGGCCATAGATCATAGAGATGCCGACAATAAACTATGGTTTGACGCTATTATTGACCATGAGTTCAGTGGTCTGAGCGAACTATTAAAAAAGTCAGGTGTACTTGACTGATTTTGAATGTAAACACTTTTTAAATATAACTTTATTTTTAATTTCTATGTAGTATAGAATTAAAAAATAATTCATACTCATAATAATAATAACTATTAGTTGTTAAATAAATAGTTGGAATAACCTTTCATGTTTTGCTCTAAATTAAATTATAAATTTCATTTTAAGGGAACTTTCGATTTTTTTTTTAATATAACGGAATGTTTTTACTAAACACGCTAGCGGCATGTTTTGTGAAATTACTACCATTTTTTTTTTTATTAGGTAATTAATATTGATATTCAATCATACATTCTATTAAACAACAATTGTTTAGTATCTTTGTGCTAGAAGTTGTAAAACAGAAGACAATGTTTATTCAATTTCTGTCAATGTAAAGAGCTTTTGAGAGAATTTGACCTATGAGTTCAATTATTTACCTATAATTATTATACACTATTTGGAATGGTTTTGCAGGGGCAAACTAGTGTTTTCAAATTCTGTTGTGAATATCCTTTATGTATGATGTTTTTAATTATTGAGTAAATAATTTTCATAATAGAATTTACTTCTTATTTCTCTGAATACCATTACTATATATATACACCATTATTATAGAATTTTGTGAACCGTTCCGTTAGAATCTGTACAATCATGACGCTATTAAAAGTTATTTTTTACTACTTTTTTTGCTCACTAATGAGTTTTCATATTCAATTATCATGTTTATACTGTACGATTTTATTCAATAAGATGTATTATAAATAGAATTGTAATTGACTTCTGTTTGTGGACGACAATAAACCGCCTCCTAATATTATTAATTTCTTAATAAACAATACAAACGTAATTGAATCATTTTCATTTTACTACCTACTACTTTTAAGAGCCCTTGCGTCACATAGAACGGTTGATTTGCAGATTGCAATTGTAAGGTTAACAAAAAATCGGAAATTTTTAATGCTCGTTTCGATCAAAATATGGTGTACGGAACAAGAATAGTTAAAATTTTTTTGTTCATAAATAGATTGTAAGGAAACAACGTTTTAGGTGGACCTTACCTAAAGACTAGCATAGACAAAAATTTTAATAATCTATATTTGTGTAGTACTAAGATGATATTTGATAGTTTCTCTTATAGACCTTCCACGTACAGGGATCAATTTATATATATAACACAAACTGTTCCCGCGACATCGTCCGCGTGGAATTTAACTTTATTTCTCATAAATAAAAGTAGCCTAAGTTACTCCTTATTACATCAGCTACATGCCAAAAAGATTCCGTCAAAAATCGGTTCAGCCATATCAGAGATTAGCCGGAACAAACAGACGGACAAAAATTGTAAAAAAAAATATTTTTGTGTGTACCGTATTTATAGGCATATGCATGTAGTACAAAAGGTTATTTCAATATTACAGACACTCCAATTTTATTTATACGTACAGATGTATAGATATGTATTTCTAATATGGCAAGGCAAGGTGTAAGAACTCCCGATAATGAAATTTGTCTGCATAAAATATAAGTTGCACCGACGGAGCACTTATCCGTGGAGGATAAAAGTCTGTCGTTTCGTATGTAAGTGCAATTCAATTTTTGTTCCTATTTTGATAGAGAAGTACCTGCAGCGAGAATTGTCCCTCAGTCATTAGAGCCCTTATTGCTTTTACGTTTTCTTCTTTTGTTTTAATTTTACAGTTTATTCCAAATAATAGATCCAACCTTTCGTCCCTAATTATAATCAATTATTTATATAGAAAATGGAGTGTCTATTACGTGCCAAATTAACAAATAGGTATAGACGTAGGCACTGTAATTGAATTTGACGGCAATTTTCCATAGCGTCTGTTAGGAAAATATATATTATTAGGGTATTGGGAGGGTAGAATAAAAAAATATCAAACTACATAATCGTGTTTACTAATTTACTACAGCTTTCACCCTGTCCATCGCTTCTCGATAATAATATTGAATCAAAAATAAGCAGAGAGCTCGGAACCCCATTAATTAATTCCTAAAAAAGAGATAGGGTATCTGTGCTGTGAGAGGGGCTACACAAAGTAGCTAGCCGTATAGGTATGTAGCTAAATAAATACAATATCCATGATGTTAGTATGTACCGTATCGTACATGCGTTGATCTACTCTAGCCTTACTTAGGGTGACTATAAAGCTGATGTTATCAAATATTCTTTATCAATAATAAATTGCTCTAGACATACTACATAGCGCCACCAAAGCTTATACCTTGGGCATTTGACAAGGGATAAAAATACTTATATATATTTATGTGAAAATATATTTCAAAGACAACATTCAGTCCAAAATAAACAGATATACCTAATCAGCAATATAAACGTTGGTATTGTGCATGAGATGTGGGAGTGAGCGTTTATAACGAAAACAAGCATTTATAACGAAATTGAGCATGTCAAGCACTTCGGTATGGCGATCTATAAAATATAAACGACCGAGAGGAATAAAACTCGAGTATCGACTGGAATACGTTCTTGTACATAAGAACTTTAGTGTTCCAATCTAATCATTACTGTATCTATACGAAATAACGAACATAAGGGCACTAAAAAAACAATCATGGTTTTAGTTTGGTTGAGTACTTGTTGCTTACAATTTTTGTTATATGTTATTTGCATAATATATAATATAGGTATAGGTCAGGTAATACAGATAATACTACTTATTCTAAATAAGGTATTGGTTCTATTAAGCTTTCGTCTCATAATAATATATTTCCAGACTCGAATATTAGATTCACACATCTCTATTCATGGAGGTAACTTACTTTTCCATTTCTTCCTATTATGGGAGCTCGTTTATTTTTTGTGGTCCATTCGAAAGCTTAAATTATGGACACCGTGGCTGGAGACTGCCTCGTACCTACCGGGGTGTCACGCTGTAGCGTGGGGTGGTAGCGCCCCATACCCGCTCACCGCCCTCAGCCTCAATGAGAAATGTTTCAGGGCCTTTTGTCCCCTTACGCCCCTTTTTGCAAGCGACATCTTCAAGGATACTGTGTTAATCGGACCCAGCGATACTTTTTGCGAATTCGACTACAGAATTCGACTGGAAAAACTGTTTTTTTTTTTATCCCTATTCCCTCGACCTCATTTACTTTTGATTGTTGTTCGACTGTCGGAAATTTCCATCTGGAATTTTATTATATTTGGATAAGTATTTTCTTATTAAGATGTCTATTGTCCTACTTATGGGATTACTCTTTATTAATAAATCTTATAAGGTTTCTTGAGAATAATTTTTATCATATAGTACATGATACATACGTTGCGTATACTGACTGACTTAATGGATATTAGCTAACGCCGTAAAAACTAAGAATAATATGTTTTTGTCGGTGATGACTAAATAGGTAAGGTTGAAGTAACAGGAAGATGTTAGTTCAGAGTATTTAGTTGTGCTATTAATCCTAATCATTAACTATCCTCTCCATATATCATTAATCATTGACCGACATTAAAATTATGTGTTCAACTCTTGAAAAACAACTTGTAAAGAAATTCAACAATTATATAATTTATCGTCATTATTATGTAATTGCGAAAGAGTTAAGGTTGAGACCTATTCACACTGACAGCATATCTATATATCATTTATAGGTACCTAATTATATTGTAGTTGCATACCGTTACTAAGAAACTTTAATAACATTCTCGATAATGTTGAAAATGTGTATTGTATAATTTTGTTTGTGACTTGGTTATGAATATAAGTATTATCACAATTTTTAAACATTAGTCTCGTACTTTAGGCAAATAAATTTATGATATCTGTGCATACTTCTAAAATATTATCGTGAGGTTAACACGAAACGTGGCACGGTCTCACGGCTCCCGGCAGGTTGTTTTTGCGGATAAAAATATGCGCAACTGGTAACAATTGATAGGGGAGGTGTGTGGGGTGCACTAGTTCAAATCTCGTGTCGAGAACCCTTTGCGACCCCACTTTATCCCTACTTTCATAACACTCCGAGTTGTTATTTCTCTAAGTTAACTATTGCTCCCATTTTTGTCAAATTATAGTTTAGGGGTAGTAAGAATTCACGTAATGTTTTTGTATTTTTACTGGTTTATGCGGATTAGATGCACTCACTCGAAAATTAGTGCATATAACGTCACGGTTTGTTTTTTTTTATAGTTTAGGGACAAGAAAATGGGATTCTGTGGTTGTGATGCGTATTTAAACATAGTAGCAGTATTAAACATAGTAGCTACAGAATAAATACTTTTTTCGTCTAGCCTCAACTCTTTAAAAAGAAAAGCAAAATTTCAAGGAATAAGCTAATTAATTGCTTTCAAACATATGATTTGATAGTAATGAAGTAATTATTATTTAAAGAAAGTTATTATTCATAAATTATAATCATGTATACAGATTTACGCAAATATAAGAGCTTAAATTTGCGTAAATCAACCATGCAATTTTTTAATTCCGAATTGGAGAACGTGCTGAATTCAGCACGAATTGACCACTCCTACTGATGGATAGGGTTGCTTAGTTGGTCCCACAATAATTTTATCTAATTTGTTTAAGTTTTTTTAGACAATGTTAATTGATCCCAATATGTTATTATTCATTTTCATATAATACATACCTAGGTAGGTATTATATATTATTATAATAATGTTATGAGTTTGTCTGTTAATGTTGTTACCTTTTACCACTAAGAACTTAATGAAATTAAAAGTTATATATTTATCGTTTTCAATGTCTTTATTCTTCTCACTTATGCAATATACAATAGCTTCTATTAAAGAATATTATCTAAGTACCTATTTCGTAAAATATATACCATAAATTTTGGTGGCGGCTGTCACTATTTTTCTCTCTTCATGCCTACGCAATTCGCTATGGTAGAACGCGACCCATTGTGAGTTGAAGTTCAAATTGCTTACTACCATGGAAGTTACGTATACCCGACCTTGACTTACAATAACTGTCAGTGAAATAATAACAATAAATGCTAAGAATTGTCTTATACGACATAAGTAAGTAACAATTTATACATTATATTAGCATGTGGGTAGTAGATCCACCTATGACCAAATATATATATTTTAAAATGTTATAATAAATACTAATTTATGATACAAAATTAATATCAGATACCGTAATATATCTACCAACTGTGAGACAGACATTGAAATACCCATCATATGTTTTCAAATGTCAAAGCCCTTATAAACCTCAGAGATCTACAAACATGGGCGATGAATCGTGTTACTGTAGGCGAAAGCTCGCCTGGCTGCTGTCTGTACCCGAATCGATAAAATTCGGGTCCGCGCCCCCGTACGTTGTCATGACAACCCGCCCCGAGTTTCCACCCGCCACCACCCCGTCGCTTCTCTGAGAACACCGATGTTGACTTAGACGGATAGGGTAAGAGGCTTATTAATGGTTTTATGTTACTTTACCGTCACCTATAAAACGAGCTTCATTTAAAATAATTCAGCTTATTTTTTTAAATGTTCCATTTTAGATATAAATGATCGGTAATTACAAAAAGCATAAAACGAGAACAAAGCTTTATTAACGCAACAGATGCCGGAATATTTTTTTTGATGTTGAAGGTCGGCTGAAACTGGGAAACGAGGGTCTGCAAATAATAGAACGTTTTCGCGCTTCGAGCGCCGCCGCCGCCGCCATCTTGCCAGACCGCGTGACGCCATTTCAAATAAATTGTGAACGTTCGTTCATTGTCACGGCGAGCTCGTCAACATTGTTATCAACATGATAATTCTCTAGAGGGCTAGGGGATTCTCTTAGTAGAGAGTTCGTATTTCGAAAACTTAGAACATTTTA